CGGTGACGTGGAAGGAGAGTGGTGCACACCTACCCCTATTGGTCCTAGTCGTTTGAGCCCCTACTTGTAGCTCTTTCTTGACTACTGCTTTCAACTCATTTGCGGGCCCGACTGGCCAGCAGGTCTCCCCATTTTATTATATTTTTATTTTTATTTCTTTTTCTTTATTTATCTCAAAAGTAAGATTATAAAAATCATATAAATTTGTATAAAATCACATAATACCTAAAAATTCATATTAATTAAATAAAATCCACTTTTCACACTTTAACATAAATATAAGTCTATTTATCATGAGTTAAGGCTAAAACTATATTATTTACTAATTATTAACTCATGATAATGAAGACTTATCACTCACAAAACTTTGGAATACTAGTAAAGTCTTTTCATAAATGAAAAGTATACTTTGCTACAAAGAAGTAATAAAATCAACTTACATGAATTTGGGCTGCAACCTTATTAAAATTTGAAAGGGACACACATTTTATTCTCAATATATTCTTATTTACATGATCATTTGAGTAAAGTGGAAAACTAGTTTATGTTTTACATAGTTTTTTGAATGATAAAATGAGATTGGCCTCAAAGGTTAGTACCACCTGAACTCTCCCTTTTAATATTGCTTTCATATGTTTTCATCAAACAATCACTAATGATAAGAAGAATAGTAATCAAAATAATTAACAAAGGAATATAAAGACTCACCCTCTACAAAAGCACCTACAAGACTCAAATAACCGAAAGCTAATGCTATGCTCAATAGACAATGGCTCACCTATTATTATGTGCACCTAATTCAATTATGGGAATAGAAATAAGACCATATAAAGTGCAATTCTTCTGCAATCTTTTGCTTGTGTTCCCTTAGGGTGTATTTCAAGTCATTTGTTTTATGCATTACTCTCCAAGATGTCTTTTATATTAATCTATATCATGATAATGTTCCAATTAGTTCATATCACCCTCCCACCCCATAAGTCTCTTCTTCAGATATGTCTAGAGCAGAAATATTCTGCTCTTCTAGGAACCAAGTCACTGCAGGTTCGTTCTTAGTTTGCTTAGAAAGAGGTCCTTTGGGTTTTCTGGGAGAAATTCAATTTAAAGGGGGGCTATTATAATTGTTACATTCATATGTATGCCCTTTATGCATTCTGAATTGTATGACCTCTTATCTTATATAAAATATTATATTTTTTAAATGATATAATTACGATTTACAGGAAAAGGAATTTTCCAGGTTTCCTTGTTGTATCAAAAACTCAAATTGTATTTTTTTCGTATACACATGTATCTATTACAGTTTGACAATCTCTTTTAATGTTTCTATTATTTCTTCTTTCTATTGAAAGGTAGGCGCAGTCCCGACTAGGACAGGGTGCCTATTTCTTCTTGTTTGTCTTCCCGTTGGACGATGGATGATAATGTTGCCAAGTTGAAGATGCTAATAGCTCTGGCCAACACTGACTTCGAGGCAACTAATGGCCAGCCCTCCTTTTCCGCCCATCTGTAAGGTCGATAGATAGATAGAGATAGAGAGACAGAAAAAGATATATAGATATATATATCGAGAAGGGGAGAGAGAGAGGGAGAGAGGGAGAGAGAGATAGAGAGGGGAGAGAGAGAGGGAGAGAGAGAGAGAGAGGAGAGAGAGAAAAGAGAGGAGAGAGAGAGGGAGAGAGAGAGAGAGAGAGAGAGAGAGAGAGAGAGAGAGAGAGAGAGAGAGGAGAGAGAGAGAGAGGGAGAGAGAGAGAGAGAGAGAGAGAGAGAGAGAGAGAGAGAGAGAGGGAGAGAGAGAGAGGGGGGAGAGAGAGAGGGAGATAGGGAGAGAGAGGGGGGAGAGAGAGAGAGGGGGAGAGAGAGAGGGGGGCAGAGAGAGAGGGAGAGAGAGAGAGAGGGGGAGAGAGAGAGAGAGGGAGAGAGAGGGGGAGAGAGGGGGAGAGAGAGAGAGAGGGAGAGAGAGGGGGAGAGAGAGAGAGAGAGACAGAGACACAGAGAGAGCAGGAGGGGGATGGTTATGAGTTACCTATGTCATGAGAGAAAACACGGTTTGGGCTTTTGGGTGATCTTTTTTAGGCTTGATTCTGATGCCTAATAAAACCCAAATCAGACTAAGTTTTGCATTTATGTGCTCTTTCATATATACATCTGTATATTACAATTTCTTGATTTGACAATGTCTTCTATTGCTTCTATTATTTCTTCTGGCTATTGAAAGGTAGGTGCAGTCGTTGATCAGGAAATAGTGCCTATTTGTTCTTGTTTGTCGTCCCGTTGGATGATATACATAATGCTGCTAGGTTGAAGAGGTCAATAGTTCTGACCCACACTGACATCATGGCTACCAGTGGCCTGCCCTCGTTTTCCACCGACCAGTAAGATCAATAGAGACATAAGGTACATAGAGACAAAGGCATAGCGAGAGAGAGAGAGAGAGAGAAGAAGAGGGAGAGAGAGGAAGAGCGAGAGAGAGAGAGAGAGAGAGAGAGAGAGAGAGAGAGAGAGAGAGAGAGAGAGAGAGAGAGAGAGAGAGAGAGAGAGAGAGAGAGAGAGAGGGAGAGAGGGAGAGAGGGAGAGAGGGAGAGAGAGAGAGAGGAGAATAAGAGGGGGGGATCGTTAGGAGACAGCTATGTCATGAGAGAACACGGTTTGGGCTTTTGAGTAAAGTTTATTTGGCTTGATTCTGATGCTTGATACAAGCAAAAGTCAGCCCAAGTTTTGCATTTAGGGCCTCTTTCCTAGATACATCTATATATTAGAATTTCTTGATTTGGCAATCGCATCTAATGTTTCTATTATTTCTTCTTGCTATTTAAAGGTAGGTGAAGTCATTGACTAGGACATGGTGCCTATTTTTTGCTATTAATGTGCCTAGGAGTTATGGGCTCCGTGAAGTCCACTTCTAACCCATCTCTCATATGGGGAATGAGAGAGTATGGGGTTCAATTAGAATAAATGTCAATCGAGTGAAGAAAAAGATCAAGCTTCCAATCTGGACTATTAAAAGATCACATCATTATGTGCACAGAGTTATTTGTGCACACGAAATTATTAATTACTCACTAGATGTTGTTGTGGCTCGAGTAACCTTATTTACTACTTAAGAATAGGATGTCAAATTTAACATACTTCAAATCATTTGGATGCAAGTATTTTGTTCTACAAAATGGAGTAGAAGAACTAGAAAATTTTAATCATGGTAGTGACAAAAGAATCTTTCATAGACATTTACAAAATCAAAAGCCTATAAAATCTACAATAAGAAACTTCAGTTGTTAAAGAATTTATTCATATAAAAGTTATTGAAAAATTGAAATCACTAAAGATCATTCCAAATGAACATTGAAATCACTAAAGAGAATTTACTTTATCATTTACTTTACAAATATAACCTATGAGCATGAATCGTGCATTTTTGTGCAAAGAGTGGGTAAATACAATGAATGATGAGCTAGAATCAATGATGTTTGGTACATAGTTAAAAGAATTAACAATCAAAATTTGAGAAAACAAAAATGAGTCCTTGGAAACAAACTAAATGACAAGTGATAATTAAGAAATATGGGTAAATTGGTCGATCAAGATTGTGGTGAACAAAAAATTACTGATTATGGGGAAACTTATACATCAGTAACTACGTTTGATGTAATTAGGATTCTTCTTCCTCTTGGATCAAACATCCTTCCATCTGTGAGGTCCTATGCATCACGAACTCTTGGGAGGTGGTCAACTATTAGGGCTTTGGCACTCAAAGACACATACACTGGTGAAGATAATGCCGGAAGTCGACTGGTGGTTATCATGCCTTGTGATACCGATCGGCGGCCCCCACTCAAACTGCACCTGCCGAGCTGCCACCCCTGCGGGTGTCTACTCCCACACCCGCTCCTCGGGTTACTAGCATGTTGTCAGACCGTTCCTCTTCAAGCACTCTTTGGCGCTGGTGTACTTCACCATGAGATTTGTAGATGATTAGGTGAGATAATATTTAAATATCGTTTAGGAGTATTGGACTTTGGTTAAAATGTCGTAGAAAAATGGGGAAAGGATGATGGTGCTATTGTTGTGTTGTTTATTTTATGAAAATATTTATTTTCTGTCTTTTTGGGAGCGGGCATTTAGTATGTAAATATATTTGGGTGGGGCGTCATATCAATAAGGTGCATGACTATTGGACTGCGTTAAAATGTCACAGAAAAGTATAGAAAAGATGAGGAGTTTATTTTTATGCTGTTTATTTTACGAAATCATTTCTTATGTATATTTTCAGGAGTAGGTGTTTAGTTCATGAATGTATTTTTCTGGAGCATTATACTAGTAATGTGGATAATTATTTGACTTGGGTTAAAATGGCACCATGGGAATAAGAATACCTCACGTTTTAATCCTGGGATTAATTTCTCATTAGCTTGTGGACTCGCAATAGCTTTGGGGTTGATTTCCCAAAGGTTACTTGAGTAGTTATGGACATCTTGCAATAGGTGTCTTAAAGAGTTAGTTGGGAGAGAAAAGAAAGGGGTGGAGTTTCTTTCTCTTGGGCTCATCCTTTACTTTGAAATGGATCTAGCCCAAGCCCAATTCCCTTCTCGATCAACCTTTCCCTGGTCCAGATTGGACTGAATAAGATCTTCATTCATCTTAAATCCCAAATAAGACCCATAGGAGCCATTGATGCTTGGACTGTTAACCCCATCACATGGTCTTTGTAGATTTCTAATTTGACCAAAAGATCCAAAAAAGGGGTAAAGAAAAGAGGCCTGGCCTATACTGGACTAAAACAGTCTGCGGTGTAGGCTCTGTTTGGGAGTCTTTCGCCAGTCAGATAGTGAATAGGCGGCTCCTCACTTCGCGATACCCTTCTGCTTATAGACCTCTCGAGCCTCGTGCCGGAAGTCCTCGTCTGGTAGCTTCTCAGATCCTTTTCCGCAGCATCCCCTACTCTCTTCGCCCCAAGTCTTCTCCTCTATCCCGACGTCTCTGTTTCTGTCTCAGGAGGAATCATGGCTGAACAGAAACTTCACTTCGTGCTGGTTCCGTTTGTGGCACAGGGTCACATTATTCCCACGCTGGACCTCGCCCGGCTTCTGGCCGATCGCGGCGTACTGGTCACCCTCGCCACCACGCCCGTCAACCTCTCGCGGAACCAGGCCTTTGTCAGTCGGGTGAAGAAATCCGGCCTACCATCCGTTTCCTTACTTTACCGTTCCCGTGCGAAGAGGTCGGCCTGCCTGCGGGGTGCGAAAACATGGACCTACTTCCACAAGGCGAGGAGGAATTGGCGAAACTCTTTACCGCGATGGGGCTGATGCGGAAGCCCTGCTGCTTCACCTCCGGCGGACCTCGCCCCCGCCCTGCTGCATCATCGCGGACTTTTGCAACCCCTGGTTGCGCCACGTGGCTCGCGAGCTCGGGGTTCCCCGGTTCGACTTCTACAGCATTCCCTGCTTCTACCTGCTTTGCGAGCACAACCTGATGCATCACAAGGTGTACGAAGGCGTGGGTGGCGACGATGTGCCCGTCGTCGTGCCGGACTTACCCGTCCGAATCGAGGTCACCATGGCCCAGGCGCCAGGGATCTTTCCTCCGCCGGGTTGGAAATGGATGAGAGACGAGGTAAGTGAGGCCGGGTCGTCGTCCCACGGCACACTGGTCAACACCTTCGCATCTCTTGAACCCGGTTACATAAGTTTCTACGAGAAGGTTAAAGGGAAGAAAGTGTGGGCCGTGGGACCCGCGTCTCTGTGCAACAAGCTCGCTACTGATGCGGCAAACAGGGGCGATAAGCCCGTCATTAACGAGGAGAAGTGCCTCACTTGGCTCGACTCCATGGAGCTGGGATCTGTGCTCTACATTAGTTTTGGAACCCTCGTCAGATATCCTTTGGCTCAGCTGGTGGAGCTCGGGCTGGGACTGGAGGCCTCGGGGCGCCCGATTATATGGGTGATCAAAGCCCGGGAGCTGCAGTCGGCCGTGGAAGAGTGGCTCGCCGAAGGGTTCGAGGAGAGGACGAGGGATCGGATTCTCATCATCAGGGGTTGGGCACCTCAGGTGACGATTCTGTCTCATCCCTCCATCGGGGGATTCCTGACGCACTGCGGGTGGAACTCCTCCTTGGAGGGAATCACGGCCGGAGTCCCCATGCTTACATGGCCCGGGTTTGCAGACCAGTTTCTCAACGAACGCTTCTTGGTGGATGTATTGAGGGTGGGAGTCCCGTGCGGAATGAAGAGGCCTTTCTGGGACGAAACGGTAATCAGGGGGGACGTGAAAGTCAAGAGAGAGGATATCAAGAAAGTAGTGGAGAGGTTAATGGACGACGGCATCGAAGCACACGAGTTGAGGAACAGAGCAACAGAGCTGAAGAAGATGGCGAGGAGTGCAATAGATGTTGGGGGATCTTCCGAAGAAAGCCTGACGCAATTGATTAACGAAGTGAGCCTTCTCGCAAAGAAGCAGACGATCTCTGCTACGGAAATTCAACAAGAGAAGGATTAGGTGTTTGATGGTTTTGAAAACATGCCACATGAATTTATACTTGTTGTTTCGCCATCAGGATAAAATCTTCACCTATATTATCTTGCAATAAAGAGATTTTTACTCTTCCAAAACTACTAGATTTGATGACTGGCCCCTTCTGAGCATAAATAAGATTTACCATAAATACCAGATTGACTCAAATATATGGTTTTTACCATATATACCATAAATACCGTAAATAAGGTTTTTAATGAATAGTTATAAACTCAAATATATGAATTAATGGTTACAAAATATTGGATTTATACGTACCATGACGACATATATTTACTAATATGTCATACTTAAGCCTTGTATTACTAATAATGTATGTTAACTCATAAGTTATATCAATACAGCGTAATTCTTTCGGAACCTTCAATGTTGTAATCAATATATTTTTATTATATGTTCACAACTATATATAAAAGAAAATGTTGTGAGCCTAGGTGAATTGGAACAACGTAATCTGAACCGCACTTTGGCGAGAGTAATATGAACGGGGGAGAAACGGACGGATGGAGAGAGATGGAAAGAGTTGGCCTACTGGGATTAGAAGACAAGACATATCTATATATATATATATATATATTGAGAGAGAGAGAGAGAGAGAGAGAGATAATCGAGAGCGAATTGACTCTCCTCCACATCTACGTTTGCTGGATGCCACCGGCCTATGTGGTAGTCTTCTGAGAGGTCGGTGGTGCTTCTCCAATCGGTGGTGGGGCTTGTGTATCCTCTTATACACCATCTATTTAGCTTTCCGTACTTGGATTTATCTCCACAATTCCAACAAAGAGAGGGAGAGAGAGAGAGAGCGAATTAACTCTCCTCCACATCTACGTTTGGTGGGTGCCACCGGCCCACGTAGTAGTCTTTTGTGAGGTCAGATGTGCTTCTCCAATCGGTGGTGGGGCTTGTGTATCTTCTTATACACTATCTATTTAGTTTTCCGTACTTCCATTCATCTCCACAATTACAAGAAAGAGAGAGAGAGAGAGAGAGAGAAGGGAAGAGTAGTTTTCATCCCCCGGCACAATTGGTTGATGGCTACAAGCAAACTAGGAACCCACATAGCAGATTAGAGGATAGAGAGATAAGTACGTAGATAGAGACAGGGAGAGTGGAGATAACTAGTGGGAAAGTGATTAGGGTATCATAATCTTCCGCAATAGGTGAGTCTGCTTGCAAACTTCGCAACCACCAGGGAGAATCAGATGAGAGAGGGACGGAAAGGTAGACAGAGAAAGCGAAAGATAGATGAGCTTGGGGGATGGGAATATCCTCACAGTCTATATTTTTCAAATAGGTAGAGACTAACCAGCGTTCATCAGTTAGCTTATGTATGGTCAATTCAGGTTGCCAATCACATCAAATCTTAATTGTTTACTTTGCTAGAAAGAAGAAATAAGATGAACTTGCATCAATTCACAAACTTATTATACTTTGAATAGGCCATAAATGTTATTGTCAATATATGCATATTTACACAATCACTTGAATTAATTGAGATTGGCCTGGAAGGCTTGTAACACCTGAATTTGCCTTGTTCCGTTTTACTTTCTTAACTTTCATTATAAAATTATTAATGATAATGGGGATAGTACTAAAAAAAATTAACAATAGAATTCAATGAACCTGCTCTTCGAGATGTACTGACTATACCCAAAAAAACGAAAAAGCTAAAACTATATTTAATAGACTTGGGCTCCCCTATCATTATTTGTACCTAACTTAATTATGGGAAAGGAAATAAGATCAAATAAAGTAAAATTTATATCAGATTGTAAAAGTAGACCATATTAACTATTTTATAGATGACATTGTTGTATAGTTGAAGGTTCTTCGATACATTATTAGCTGTTTTTTTTGAAAAAATTTTTACTATGTAACTGTATAAATGATCATATATGAAAGTAGCTTGAACATCATCATCACCTTACATTGGGTATGTCTCTAAATTTATATTTTGAGGTAGTCTTTATTAACCCCTATTTTTCGTGCCTAGTTAAATACCTAAATACCTAGGTTACATTGCTTCTTTGCAAGGATATATGGGTTTTGATGAATGTTTTAGTGCAACCTCAAAGTCTGAAACTTCACTCCAAGACCAATGAATACTTCATGGCTTGTGAAATCATGTCATCTCTTAGTTTGGTAGCATCCAAGAAAAAACTTGGTGCTAAGAATGAGACAATTGCTGGATAGCTTGCTTCGAAGTCAATCTTTGACCATTACATATTTTTTTAAATGAGAACTAATTGAAAAAATGCTACTCTTTAGTGTCTAATGCTTTAATTTATTAGGATTAAAATTTTCTAATGATAAAATCCTTTGGACAGTCCTTGAATCCATGAGGATCAAGTAAGATCTCTTTAATTTATTGATGCCCTTGCTTTTGATGATTACAAATGAAAATTTATTCAAAATTTATTCTTTCACATTAATGCTTATTTATGTGTTTTTCTAATTATTTATCATTTTAATTTATTTAATAAATTAAATTATTTTATTATATGAATTTTATTTATTAAATGATTATGACTTCGTTGTTAACTATTGAAAACTAAAGTTTTCAATTCTTGTTGTTAAGCTTTTATTTATTTTAACAATATGAGCATAAAAAATTATGAATGGAAGAAACATATGCATATAAAATGTTAAGTAGATGATCAAATAATATGCGTCCACACATGTCAACTAATATCACTTTGATTGTTGTAAATAAAAGGTTCAAATTTGTAATATTAATAAACTGAATTCAAATGAAGAATAAAAATTAAAATTTAGTAAATCCAGGTTGTCCACATAGATGATGGCTACTCTCAACATCCATTTTGTCATTCTTAAGAATTTATTGAAATAAAAATAATCTTCTCCACAATTTTAATCTTTCAAATTGTCTGCCCACATTCAACATTGATAAATGACTCAAGACCAAAATATTCTAGAAAAAAGAAAAAATTATAAAAATAAAATAGCAAAAAATATTTAAATAAAAAATAGGAAAGTAGAGAGAAAATACAACTATGAAAATATAACTATCTATGTAGTCTCCCTATAGATAGTGAAATGGAAAAGAACTTTACTTGAATTCTTACAAACATTGAGTATTCATTTGAAATAAATCAATTTAAAAGAATATATAACTAAGTAAAATTTCACTAGGAAAAAGTGAAATCATGAAGAAAATAGCTAAAAAGAAAATAAAAACACAAATTATCTACCTATGAAGCAACTCTCCGAATATGAAAGTCAGAATACAATTTCAATTTAAATCCTTGTAAAATATAAGTAACCTATAAAATTAAGTAGATTCAAACATTTTGAATAAAGATTTCATAAAAAAACTCATAATCACAATAAGATAAATTAAAAGAAATGAAATCACTATACAAGCTCATCCTTATCGATCACTTAGGAAGAAAGTATCATCTCAAATAGAAATGAAACTCAAAAAAATTAGAAAAATGATAAAAATATTGATAAAGAATTATAGCATTGTTGTTTTCTTATCACTCAAATGATGAAATAAGCTAAAATAAATAAATAAAATGAAAATTAAATCTAATTTTCACACAACATTGGTCATTTTTCTTGTTTGTCACCTAAAAATAGAGTATCAATAAATGAGTGCAAAATCTGTTGAAAAGTAGTAAGGAAATTAGTTTGAATGCTTAATCTCATTGTATGCATGTTACTTTGATGACAGATTAAGTAGAACCGAAAATAAAATACAATGAAAATAGAAATAGAATTCATACATGCCCACGATTAATTCACTCTTCTTTAATTGTCACTTGGAGAGACCTCGGCCTAAAAGTGTGAAAACAAATTAAAATTGAGAAATTTAAAATCTAAAACTTTGAAGAAGAGATAATGAATGATTTCTTGCTTGTCACATAGGAAAAGATTTAAAGAAAAGAGAAGAGAGAAGAACCTCTAAAATCATAATTATGTCAAGTATGAAGGGTTGTATGCTCACCTACGGCAGGCTCATACAATCATGAAGATATATTTTCCCTATCTTTTGTAAGAATTCCCTTTATATTCACATAGTTTGCTGGAAAAACTTTTGACACCTCATTATTCAATAAAAAATTTAAGAAATGTTTTATTTTCACTATTCATACTTCGTGATTAACTTGTCAATTGTAAAATATTTCTCAAGGTTATAAACGTTGGATAATCATATTAGTGCATGAGTTAAAAATAAAAAATATATTCATATCACAAAAATCATAAAAATTACCAAATTAAACAAACTTTTCACATAATTTTCAAATGAACACTAACATGTTTTAGCTTTCATAAGTAGCATTTTTATTGATTTTCAAGTGAAAATCACTTCAATTTTTCATCAATTATTATGTTAAAAAGTATTATCATCATCACATTCATGAAAGTTAAGTATTTATGTTTAGATTATAAATAATGATCTAAACATATTGTTGAAGTGCTTGTCAATTTTCTATTGTATTAATGAAACACTCCAAACAACCATGTGTATTAAATTACCAAGATACCAAATGATATATCAAAAAGTCAAGTTTGAAAAAACTATTTTGACGATGACATGCTAGATGTTTATGTAGACAAAATAAATGAAAAAGTTGATAATCTAGATCCAATATGGATATCCAGTTATTCTTTATCATGGTATGAATTTTCAATTCAAACTTAAATTCAAATGGCCACATAAATAGGAAGATTCGAATCTTAGAAGGTCAAAACACTAGTATTTTGCATTCTAAAAATGAAACTTTTTTGAAAGTTTCAATTTTTTTCTGATAAATTAGAGAAACTAGTACAGGATGATGACTTATTTTTTGGCAAAGAGTTGTCAATTATAAAATACACAAAGATTCAATGATCATTATCACTCTCTTCATGTTAGATGTATCAACAATGAATGAAAAATCATCATCCTCTTTGAAAATGATATCTTCTAAGAAAAGATAGAAATTATCAATCTAGATCCCCTCTAGGACAGAAAGTACTAACCAAGATAAATCGCTAGAAAGTGTAATGTGTGAATATTTATAGGTTGATTGTAGATAGAAATAATCCAGCCATCTTGTCGACCAATTCCATATCTTCTACATACACATCTATTTGCTCAAATTAGTGTTTTGTATAAATTGGACATTCCAAATAAAAGCAGCAAAGAAAAACTAGAAATGAAATAAATAAAAATGGAGCCAAAAATAATTCCTTTGAATGAGTTCAATCCATTTCTAGACTATGAAACAGAAATTGCCTCCATGAAATCTGCATTATATTGTGGAATTTCCTATCCATGGGAAGATTTGTCTATCCACATTCCTTTGTGACATCGATGAAGGCAAATTATCTTAAACATGTTCTTTGCACTTCAACTCTTATGCTATTCTCTGGCTCTTTCCACTTCTATTCTTCCAATCTAAACCTTGACTGGTGTTTGAGCAGTGAAAAAGAGGAGGGGAGAGAAGTGCTCAGCAAAATGGGCTGGTTCAACTATCTTAATAGGTTGTTCAGGCCAATGAGCTCTGTTAAGCCCATTAACAAACCAGATTACATTGCAAAGATTTGAATGTTTTTTATTGATGGTTTGTTAACATATTATGTAATAAATAAAATATCCTTGGGCCAAAAAGGTCCAATAGCTCGTGCATTGCTATATTGGGCCCGAAAACTTTGCCCAAATATGTAAGCATGCTAGGGACAACCCAAGTCCCGTACAAATGTGCAAAGCACCACTTTTTGGATATCTACACTAAGAAAGAAGGATTAACGCTCCATTATTTCTGAGGAAATCATGCAAAAAATACTAAAACATCGCACAAAAGTCAACCATTTTGTATTCGAAATTTCCCTAAAATTTCACTTTTTGCCTTCCAACAATCATCTTCAAATACTCACAAAATGTCCATGATCCTATTTATTTTGCTTAACTGACCAATAACTTTGAGTCAGTAATGGTTGAAGTGTTGGAATTGACTCGTTATCGATTCATATCAATATAAATGCCAAGATAAAGAAAATTACCAACCTTTATGTCACAATGGTCCACACCTCCATGCTTGAATAATCATACTTGTGTAACATATATAAATTATTTATTTATTATACTTTTTTTTTTGTAGAAAATGTTTGTCCATGATCCATATCTTGAGACAATGTAATCTTGATTGAAGAGCTGACACTAGAGATAAAGTGATGTCTTAAAGGGTAAGAAATTTAGGATAACTAATAACTTTTGTGAATCTTATTGGTCTTAAATGTTGACAAAGCTTTAAATCACTAAATAATAATTCACAAATTGAAAATTATGTGAGAGTTCATAAAAGGTGTAAGTTGAAAAGTCTCATATGATTTAAAGTGTAGATTGTATGAGCATTTTGTCTCATCTATTTTTTCAGAAAATGAAAAAAAATCATAAATTTAGTGACTTACATGATTGTTTCATATTCATAAAGGGACAAATAAAACGCAAAAGTAAAAAATATTTCTACATAGATAATATTTGATTTGAACTCTTGAGAAAAATAGTTTATGGTGTGAGCTTGCAAGTTTTGTTTATTCAGTTCATTATAAATTGTGTGCCAAGTTAATTCCTTTGAGAAATGACCAAGTTACCAATAGTGGAGCGAGTCTACTTTAACTAACATGAAAGGCTTCAACCTCTAATAACTAAGTTGGACCATTCATCTAATTATGATAAGTCAACTCACCCACCCCATGCTTAACATTGAGGTTTTATACAAGGGTGAAAAAGATAGATCCTTAAATAATTTTAAAAAATATATATGTGACCCTTCAGTACATTCTAAATACTATAATTTAACATTGAAAAATGCTTTAATTTTTTGTGACTTGTTACCACAAGTTGTTTCTCATTTAGTACTTATTTGTTATGCGTTCACTTATAAGTAGCTTGTATAAAATGGGGCGAAACACTTCATGATAGAAAGTGAATACGATATAGTATTGTAATAATTGAAACTAGTTAACTCATTGATGATTTCTACTTTTTTTTTTAATACAACGGCTAAAAAGTAAAGAAAATTACCTTACATAAGGATCATTCTCTATGACATGAGGAACTTTTGGATTTTAAGTTGCACTTAGATCAAGAAGGAAAAGATTGCATTGATTACTAATTAATCTTTAACTTTATTAATTTATTTAAATGATTGGTGATTTTCTCATTCAAACATCAAATCCTATTATATTCTTATATGCATAGGTAAATGACTCAAGAATTCCGATAACTATGTCCATTCTCTAAGCATAATTCTATTATGGGGTTTTTCTAGTTTAATGGTTCACTAATCAAAGTCACTAATTAATGAGATCAGCTCTCCCAATATTTCACTTTAAATTTTCTTTTGAATTCATTCCTTAAGGTAGCCAAACATTGATTAAAAGAGTCAGCTGAAATTTCTGAAGATCATTATGAATTTCTTGAATTTCTATTTAAATAATTGTCATTATTACTTCATATTTTATACGTGTGTTTCTTCAATTTTATCATCTATCAAGATTAATTTGATCTTTTAATTAATATTATGAGTGTTCATCATCATCCAAATGATATGTATTTTTTGATCTCCAATAGAATCAACACTATGACCACATTTTCACATTATTCCTCAAAAAAAGGTTAGACTTTTTCCCAAGATAAGCTGCTACATCATCAAGCCCATGAACTTGCATTAATAGAAGCTAAACACCATCACTCCCATTCATACATACAGAGACATTAACTAACTATATTCTCGTATTTCAATAATAATGAAATTTCAATGCACTTAAAGCTTTTAATTAATGTTTGTGGGCATTGAATTTTTCTTATCATTGATTGTGATGAGTTTAGAAATCTAAAAATTACTTTTTCAACAAACAAAGAGAATTTATAATATGGTTTTCAAGGAGCTATTATGTAAAGCTTATTTTCCAGTATAATAAATTGAATTCACTTGCAATGGCTGGACAATGGCCCATTTTGGGTCAAAATATGTATGAAATTTTAAATTCCATAAATATTCATTAATCTTGGAAAAATCATATCAAATGTCTCTTACATAGTAAAAATCATATTAATCAAAATCATCCAATCTATTGTCTCTTGCATCTTGTTTTATTTCAATTTTCTTTTCTAGGAGTACATGCATACATATGGTTATGGCACCAAATTCCATTCAAAACCATTTTATTCATTTTTAGCATGAATATTGGTTTTTTATCCTTGAGTGAATATCTCTTTATGTTAACATATTTCACAATAATCAATGATCTAGATCACCTGAATTTAAAAATCAATTATTATGAATTCAGAAAATTATCTTTTCCTGAATTTCTTTTCATGATCAAAACAAATTAGGCTCCTAGAGCCAACAACAAAATTATGTGTTTATTAAAACACCTTTCTTTGACTATGGAGCCTTAACATTTACTCTCATTGAGATATTTGGCGTACCTTGCTTCGTCAGTGTAACTAAAAATTGAACTACTTATCTTGGTTTATTTTGAGTAAATGACATTAAATCTCATTATATTGTCCTATACTTGCTTATGTGCTGGATTATGCAACATGGATTGGAGATTCAAACAACATAATTGTATAAGTGACCCATATTTGTGATAGTGCATGGCAATATTTGCATAAAAAAACTTGTGTCAATTATATGGAAATATCATTTTTTTAAGGTTTTTCATGAGTAGGTGTTTAGTACATGAATGAATTTTGGTGGGACATTATATTAAAGTGCACAACTATTAGTTGTGTTGCTCTTAAGGGGTTGTGGTCTGCGGGAGCCCAGTCTCTCTCTCTCTCTCTCTCAAAATGTGGGACCATGGTTGAGAGAGAGAGAGAGCGAGGTCTGATATTGCTTAGAATCCAAAAGCAGGTACTTATCTCTCCATAAATTGAATGAAAAGAATGATACATCCTAATAAATTTTTACTTTTCACCCTATATTCTGCAGCCCCTCTTGGGCCTAAGCTTGAAGCACATTCTAAAAGGCCCAGGCCCAATTCCTCACACAACTCCCTCTCTCTCTTTCTCTCTCTTCGACAGACAATGTCCTTTTGTTTACTCTTTTAGTCATCTCTGGGCCCACCATCCGAACCCTACGTTTGTCCTCGAGACAATATCATGAGAATCCTCGTCTTTCATCACACTCCTGAAAATATTATCCAAGAAAATAATAACCGAATATGTTTTGGAATATCCCCCCTAACTCTCGGTGGCCAACGGCAATTTTCAGGGTATTTTAGCTAATGTGAAAGAGTAAAGGGTTTAAGAGTAATCAACGCCCGTCATAGGGGACTAAAACCAAATATACCCCAGTTAAAACGTAGATCCTCTCCACGTGGAGGGGCGCATGCAAACTCATAGACGTCATTTGTGGACCCAAGAGAAAAGTCAATAAAAATAGTCGCCCAGCTTTTCTCTCTCTCAGTCAACACTGGCACGAGAGTGGCTGAGACGCGTCACTTGTGGACCCCGCACAAATCAAGAAAGTCAAATCAATAAACGTCGACCCTCTACGCTGCCTATAGAGTCTCTATATATAAAGGGAGTGCAGTCAACAGAAGCATAGGGAGACGCCATTGAGGAATGAACAATAGGCAGGAAATCCGCGGGAAGTCCTTTACGTCTTCCTCTCTCTCTCTCTCTCTCTCTCCGACTCTGATGAGGTAACGGCATCCGGGAAGGGAATGCTGCCGGCGATTTCCGTCCCTGAGTGACCCCGCCGGGAGCGGAGGAAGGGAGAAGGGAGAGTCCGGGGGATCGCGCTTTTCGTTGGTGGAAAGGAAAGGAGGAGGAGAAGGGGTGTTTGCTTCGGTTCTGCGATCTGTGGGTGTTGCGTGGGGATGGCGGGGTGGGTGAGTCGCATGAGGTCCGCCTTTGGGGCGTCTTTCCTGTGGCTCGTGTCCTTCGTCTACTTCACACAGGTTCGATCGATCTCCCCTCCCATGTCCGTTTTCTGTCTTTCGGTGCCTCCATTCTTGGAGGATGAGATTTGAGTTCATACTCTGTTTCTGATTGTCCGAGGTTTCGAATCCGGTTCTGGTTCTCGCTGAGGTTTGAATGTGTGAGGGCTGGATGACTGCGAAGATGCGACATACTTGCGTTCTTGTTACTTTTACAGTGTATGGAGTAGTGGGAATTTTTATGATTAGCCTATCACCAGTCTGGAAAAGATTTGGGGACAAAAACAGAAGAAAATGCCATCTCTGGTTTTCTATTAATGTTATTTTTAAATTGCAAGCAAGGCCGATTGAAGTTAGCTAAACCACCTGCACTACGAGATGTAATATTTCGGTCGTTTTTGGAATTATCTGTTTCTTTCGCTCTAAGAAAAGCTTTTCTCATCTTCTAGAATATTCAAGACCCCGAGCATGGAGCTGTATTATATGGACGTTATAATGCAGCAAATGATGGATTTATCAAACATGAGATGCTTTCGTAGACGCCCCTTTTAGGAAGATGTGGATAATTTGAAACAGTGCCATCTTTTATCTTGGAGGGTAAGATCGTTGTAAAAAAAAAACTCGCAAACTCATCTTTTCTCTTCTTGTATGTTGGCTTTCCTACTCAGGGTTAGTGCGCACGTTTTTTGGTATCAGTTCTGTGGGAGAGACATAGCGAGAAGGATAATGTCTTGCCACATTCATCTACACTTGCATCCATACTATCTTTCTGGATGTGTGCTCGTTGTACTGTTGATATTGTCACAAGCAGCACTTGGGTGATGCTGGGGCCATGAAACAATTAATATCTTGTCCACTCTTTTTGTGGTCTTTCAGATCTTGTGAAACCTCAGCCACTTGGTCCTCAGGGGTGAGTGATGGATATTGTCCTCCCTGATTATCACCATCATCATCATCACCATCAGGGCCAGCAGTTATCCATTAATTTAAGGTTGACTTGATCCAAGCATCTATAACGCTTTGACAACTTTTCTAAACCACTTTCCTAACATTAACCCACCCTCCTAAAGAGTTTTCCACACTGAGCTGATGAAGGCAATAAGATCTATCGGAAGTCAAATGACTCTAATCATCAGAAAACCATAAATCGAATGACTTATGGTTGAACACTAAAACCCATCTCAAAGGAAGAGCTTAGTAGATCTATTCTCTGGGACACCTCTAGGTATGTGGGAAGGATGAATACCTAGACGTTTTAGCTGCTATGTGATCATCACGTGTATAATAAGGAATCTTTTGAGACTTACCGCCCACTGTTTTCTTAATACGTTCTGTTTCAGATTCTATCGTTTGAGTAGATTACGCACATTTCTGAATTCGGCCCCATCCTATCATGTACTTTTTGGATTTCTGTTGCACGTTGGAGATGAAAAAAATATGTGGAAACTCTGGAGTGGATAGCAAATGTTAGGGCACTGGTGAGAGAGGGGTGCTGGTTGACAAGAATATCATTGTGAGGTAAAAGAGGATAAATAATTTCTCTTACTCTGGGGTAGTGAATTAGTAAGAAAGGGGGCTATCCTCGAAAGTATCTTCTGGCAATAATTTTCCATAAGTGTCTTAACGGAAAACTTATATTTTAATCTGTTGTTAAATAGATTCATTGCATGAATTATTTTTATGCATCTCGCAGGGTATGATATTTTGAATATAACCATTCAAAGCTGACAATTGAAGCCTTCATTACTTGGCTGTAGTCTTGTTTCCGTGATAACAGTGACTTCATTTTTGAAACGCCTCTTATTTCCAATTCTTATTTTCTTTCATTTCATTTTATAAACCTTCTTCTTACCATGATGTATATATACTATGTTGGTTTAGTTACGTTTTTCTTAAATCTCAAGTTGGTCCTTTTTGGTGTAGGGTTTCAGATCCTTTGTTTGGACTGCTGTTTCTTACCAGCTCAAAGACATACTAAAGCTTTCACCGTCAGCATCACAATTTGTTGTTTCTGCAGCATTTTTTCCTTGGAGCATAAAGCCATTTTATGGGTATAATTGCATTAACTACTGTGACGCTCTTATTTATACATTTTCTTGAAACAAGGCGGCCAGATATGTTACGCATGTTTCTGTTCTTTTATTTTCCATCTGCAATCCTCTTGCATGATATTTCCAACTGCGAACTTTTTCAATGATCTGTTAGTTTTCTTCAACTATGAACGATGGTTATGTAGTCTTAGCCAATATTCATTTGTAGTAAAACTATCCAACCTCAGAGAAATATATATTAAAAAATCATATTTTAGAAGTTGCCATGAGACTATAAAACATCTATCCTTAATTATAATAGATGGAGTGTCAATGTTTAGTCTTCTAAACCTTTGAAGACATCAATTTTTCTAGTTACAATAGCCTCTGAGGAGTCCTCAATAAGTTGGATGGCTCTACAGGCCATGTGAAAGAAAAATTTGTCTTTAAATCGTATTTTATTTCTCTCCCCAATCTGCCTGACAGCGTGTCTGGCAGGAGGGTCTTTTACCATTTAATTTGACCTTTAACGCTGTCAACAGTGGCATTGGTTATCTGTTGCGTAAGATATCCCCTTTTAATACTTCTTCAGATGACAAATAAGTTGCCGATTGTTTTTCTTTAATGCCATAAAATCTGTTTGTCATTGACATGAGTCTGCTTCCTGGGTTTCATCTTCCTCACATGCACATTTTTGAGGAAAGACTATTATGCAGATGGGGTATTTCAGTGTAACTCTTCAGCCTTCACCCTTTTTCCCCCTAATTTATGTATTCTTAAGATAAATGTTGCCTCTGACTCAAGAAATTTCTCTGCTTCTGCATGTGTACATTCTTCTAAATTGAAACTCCTGTTGCTCTGAATTTTCCTGAAACATGATAAATGCGGCTTTCTTCATCCTTATTTCAGAGAGATCACTGCACTTTGCTATCATGGTTGTTCCAGAATATCATTGATCATTTAAGAATGAACTGGAGTTCAGTTTTGTTTAGGATGTAGAAATACTCGTCCTTTTGATTTTGTGAATTAAATTCTAAACTAAGTGATTATCCTGACATCTGGAGCAACCATCTTAAATTTATCGTTGTAAACTTATCCAATTCGAGCTTTTATGTGTTGTGGATCCTTCTCCACCGAAGATCTACCTTCTTCCAGAATGAATTTAATGTTTGACACACTAAATGCAAAAGAAGGGGCGAAAATCGTAAGATCCTTTTGCCGTTATCAAGAACTTCTGAAGCATCCATATATCACGCATTTGTAAGAATGTAGAATGTATCTGCAGGGATGAGGATGCAGTTGCAATTTATACATTTCTTCCTTATTCCTAAATGAAACACAGTTCCACTGATGTGGTCTCTCTGCTCTGCTTCACTGTATAGCATGCGTAATGACTGTTTGCTTTTTACAGGATCTTGTCAGATTGCATACCTATTAGGGGAAGAAAGCGTGTACCATACTTAATCATAGCGACTATATTATCCCTTTTCCCCTGGGTTGTGCTTGGACTTATATCAACCCTCAGGAATTCACACATTTGGCTCACTATTTTCCTTTGCATGCAAAACTTTGGTTCTGCAATGGCTGATGTCGTTATTGATGCAATGATTGCAGAAGCTGTTCGATCAGAACGGTATGGTCCTTTATCCACAAAGCTTGGAGTCCTTCATCTACTTCAATACCTGCTACTTAAATAATTCTTTTTCTTATTCAGAGCAGCGTTTGCTGGTGATCTCCAATCTCTTTCGTGGTCAGCAATGGCTTTTGGAGGAGTCTGTGGGAGTCTTTTGGGAGGGATTACATTATCAAATCTCAAAATAAGCAATATTTTCCTTCTTTTCTCGGTATTGCCAACCATCCAGCTATTGTCATGTGCTTCGGTTGATGAGCTTTCTTCTAGTAGGAAAACCAGGAGCATGACAGGGAAAAACGAAGGTTTAGAGGATGATGGTAACCTGGTTAAAGATGAAAATCTAGGACTCCAAACTAGTTTAGATAAGGCCGCAAGTGAAAATGTCCAAAGTGAGGGTGACGCTACCTCTCTTAATGGAAACAGCTCTTTACTTGGTGCATCCAACAGTAGCACTTTTAGAATAAGTAAAGCACACCAAAGAAGAGGCAAAGAAAAGAGAACCGCGACAGAGGTGGACATTGTAGAAGAAAGTGATCGATCATTGAGTTCAAAATGGTTTTTGTCACTGAAATCAGCATTTTATAGCTTGTGCAATGCATTTAGGCAACCAATCATCCTAAGGTAATTTTTTGTGGTATTCCATGTATTTTTTGCTCTTTATAATTTCCTGGGAAAGCAAGTGATTGACATTTCATTTCTTGTCAACAAGGTCAGACCAATGGCATGGTTCTTCTTTTCTCATGTAACTGTTCCAAATCTCTCAACAGCCATATTTTATTACCAAACCGAAGCCTTGCACTTGGATGCGTCCTTCTTAGGTACCGCACGTGTGATGGGATGGTGTGGTCTCATGTTTGGTACATTTATGTATAATCGCTACTTGAAAAGGCTGAGATTACGAAAAATTCTCTTGTAAGTAACCTATTAACGACTTTTCTTGATATTCTAATATCTTGTGATCCATGTCTTTTATTCACCCTGTTTCCAAATAGAAAATAAATGACATATTAAAGTGAGCGGACCATTTCTGTCTTGCCAATTTGTGTCAACTTATGTTAATTGACTTAGTTTCTCCAAGGAGTCATGGCACATGCTTCCACTCAACTTTGGCTTTCCACATTGTTCAACCCCCATAACCGAGGCCACTATTTTTGCTCAGTGCGAAAATATTAGGGTGACAGCTGTTTATCCCCATCCTTAATGAGTAGGTTCTTTGATGACGAGTTCTATTTCAGGTATTTGTCGTCTGTCGGATCAGTCATTGAGACATTAGAATCTTCTTATATATACTTCGGAAGCTTTTTCCCATTTAATATTCTAAATGATACATTCTGTGACATTTTGACAAGAGGGTGCTCAAGATTGTATCATCTCTGGAGGCATCTCCCTGTTACGCTTCAGGATGTGTACATAAGTTAAGAAAACATTCTTTACGATTCATGCCTAATTATGAAGCGATTTGATGACGGTGAAGAATTGAATATATGGTGAACACAACGTTATTTAGAATGAAGTATGATGGAGATGATAGTTTTCAATATTTTTTTAATGCATTTTCCTATCAGACATTCCATGCAGCAAGACAAGTTTAGTAAACTGGTTTTGATTTGACTTCATCTTCTCTGACTTTGAGCCAGTTTTACATTCATTTAACCATTCTCCCTGTCCTAGTAATAGTCCTTTTTTCTGATACAGGTGCGCTCATATTGGTTTAGCTCTCTCGATTCTCTTTGATGTTGCATTAGTATCTCGAGTACATGTAAATCTTGGCATATCGGACAAATATATGGTACTCTTTGGTTCAGCTCTGTCTGATGCTATAAATCAGTTCAAGTATGTTTCCTTTTCTCCTTTATGTAATAATAGTTATTCTGATTTTAAACGTATGACTATCGTCATTGGTAGTAGTCGATGCAAGTGCTTGTTGTTATGATTATAAAGTCGTAGCTCCGGCATTGTTTGAAACACCATAAAGGGAACATTACCCGGCAAACAGAGATTAGTAGATCAAAGTGGGGGGTCTTCTTTACAAAGAGAGTGAATCATGAATTAACAATCATATTCCATACCCTAATTGGTCCAGGAGATCGGCAAACTCATCTAGGTGCCGATTATGGTCCCAACTTTGTGCATAACCAGGATGTTGATCAAGTGACCAATGTCGATTCTCATCTCTCTTCACTCTGATACAGGCCCAATAAGGGTCTATATCCGAAAAAGGAAGAAGAGGGTGCAAAGGCTCATCACGACCCACCAGGCCCAGTTAGAGCCTCTAAATTCAACAGTGGAGCCTTTCCCACAAAAAGAGAAGGAATCTGAAGTAAGAATTCTCCCTTCCCCTTTATTAGCCTTATCTCTCTCTCTCTCTCTCTCTATCTCCCCGTTTCTCATTCTATGATCCCTGTCCCAGGAAAAGGGTCCCTGCCGGCGCCCCCTTCCCCAGGAGATTTATGAAGACCGTCCCTTTTCTCTACCTTTTTTCTCCCTCGTTCCTTTGAAGTTTCCCTTTCTCTGTGGAAGACTATTGCCTGGTTGAATTTGAGGATTTGTTCATCGGAAGAAGAAATACAAATCACAAGATAGGATCTAGAGCCATAGCACACTCACATTGAAAATTGTTTCATAGAACCCCACCTTTCAATTGGCAATGAATCAGTCAACAGAACGGCCTATCTTCCTGAATAAAATAATTGTTTTCATATCTTTACGTTGAATAACAGTCCATGTTGGCTATTTGTTACCGAGAAACCTAGGAACGGTGGAAATAATTCCTGGCCGGTGACGATTTGGTGTGATCATTTAAGTCACATTGATTGATAGTTTTTATTATGTACCCCTTTCTGTGGATAAAATGGTTTGACGTACACTTTATAACGAATAAAATACATTTAGTTTTTTAGCATAGTTTGGGCTCATCTTTCAGATTGGTTTATCTGGCTGACCAGTCTGGATTGGATAATACGCAGTTAACTTAACTTGATGGAGTGATTAGATTTAGATAGAAAGTTATTGGAATAAGAGAGCAAAAAGAGCAGGGACCGGAACAGTGACAGTATGACAGCGATCTTGAACTGTTTTCTTTTATTAACTTCCCGTTCCACTTTTGTATGACCGTTTTTAATATCTTTTTCGTAATACTTGATTTTCTACAATGGTATAGAAATATTGAACTTGCAATATTGTCAGCTCTTTTTATAATCTAGATTTAACCCTAATGTTTTCCCATCCTATTGATCAAGATGAGACATTTATATCTATGACAACTTAAAACCCTTTGATTACTGGTCTTTCGTGTGATTTCCACCAAAATTTATTATTCTAAGATGGCGCCAATAGGGATCTTGTTAGCGGAGTATTGCCTTGGAACACACTGATATCGGTATATTCTTGCCCCAAATGCAAAATGATTCTGTAAATCATTTTCTTATTTATCTGACCCCTAAAATTATTAAAAAAATGGTCAAATGCTTCCAAGGATTAGCAGATTCTGAAATATGGTGAATGATTAAAATTGGAATTGCACTGGCTTTCAGAAACTTATTCTTTCATTCAGCATTTGACTTTTGGGTTGAGACACGTTTGAGTTGACTTTCTATTGGACTATGCAGGATGATGCCTTTTTTGATTATTTCGGGTCAGCTGTGCCCACCAGGAATTGAAGGAACACTTTTCGCATTATTCATGTCCATAAACAACCTGGGGTCAACTCTGGGGTCATTCTTTGGAGCTTTTTTGGCCTCAGCATTGAAAATTTCATCACAAAATTTTGACAACCTCCTACTGGGGATTATCCTGCAGCTCGTCGCCACCTTCATCCCCATTCTATTCCTTTTCTTGATACCAAAGGAAGCCACTGGATTAGTGGCATAGGCACATTTTTCTCAGCGGCTTCTGAATACAGGTACGCCTTTTGATCCAGCTTACTCTTTCTTGGCTAAAAGCCCCCATCAAATGTACCCAGATTACCTGGTGCTCATTGGCAGCCAGAATGTTGACTTTCTGCATAAATATCAGGCGCTTCCTCAATTTTGATTCCCCCCTGTTAGGATATGAACAGATGACAGCGAGAATCATCAGATGTGAGGAGGTAAAGAGATGACGCGGTTCCTCTAATTAGCCTAACAGAGAATCCTCCCAGTTGCTCTCTGGACTCCTATTTTAGCCTATTCCCTAGAATTCAAGGTCTCAGTCGCTTCAGTGGATCACTTAGCTAACACCTGGAGATGTCAGAAAGTCAGAATGCCATATTAAGTTACTGATTATCATCACCACTCGATAGAGTAGGCTCATTGATATAAATGGTTGTGCAATGCATGTCTTTGAGTTGCGACCTGGTGTGCTAAAGAATGATTCACATCCAAATATGGGACTATGATCGACAATTATGGCTGTTGATCTCACATCTAAGTTTGCTGTATCCCTCTAGTCTAGCTGAATTAGTAATCATTCAGCATGGTTACTTCATTGACTTGCCCACTGCAACCGAAAACCAAGATCTGATGCGTGCGTAAGATCATTTCATGCATATATTTTTTATTCTTCAATGTCGAACTCCCAAGCACAAAGTGTAGCTTAGAGCAGCCTGTAGGTTTGCATGTTTTCACTTGAAAAAAATGTGGAACTCGTGATCTCATCTACTTGTTTTGTTTTTAATCGTGAATATTTTCTTCTTTTTTTTTTCGTATGAATCGAATCTGCCTTTAATCATGTATATTCTTCAAGCCCCTCTTCTCTCTTCTGGGATCAAATCATCAGTCTTTGACTTTGACCATTGGGGTCAACCCTCCTCGATCTCATTTACGGAGAACAAAAAAGAAAGTCAATCCTGCCCCATCATCAAAATGCCTCCATTTATTCAGCCGATTTGGGGACCGGATGAGCACAGAATTTTCTTCCCACATTGGATCATGTCAAGAGGCTGTTCTCATCCCCTAACGGGTTGTTACATTCACATGTGGAGACAGATGACGCAGACCGATGTGACGTGGCTCATCTGACCTTTCCCCGTCTTGCGGGGAATTTTACATTTACACCCAACCATGCCATCTTGGATTGCAGACAACCACCCGAGGTGATGTTTATCTGCCGAACCCCTCCCCGTGTGGTTAGTCTGCTCTTCCACCCCTACTTTTTCTTCCAGCATTTGGAAGCCCCCCCCCCCCGATGACTCTCTCTCTCTCTATAAATCTTGTCCTATGGCTCCCTTGTCTACTCATGGAAAAATGAATACTTTTATTTATTAAAAAATGGAATTATTAATAAATGCCCAGCCCAATCTAAGTGTTTCATTGCCTAGGAAAATGTATAAAATAAGAGGCAAAAAATATATTTAAATAAATAAATATATTAATATATAGTAGTCATAATATATACATATTAGTCTCAAATTGGGGTTGTTAGCAAAAATATTTATCTTCATGAGGGTCATTCATAATTTTACCATCCACGTAATTTTATTGTGGGTTTCCAAATTATTCCCTTTAATATTTCGTTTTTAACAAGCAAGTTTATGTCAGGGTGTTTTTCGTAATTTAGGGAATATAGGCCAGATTGAGTCGGGGGTGTCGTGTCGTAGGATGATTAATGCGTGGGCCACGTGGATGGCGTTGGCGATTGGGACGCGTGGAGCCCTTTCTATCCGCCAGATCACCAAGGACGGGAACGGACCCACCTTCAATGTGTCCGGAAGACGGCAAGCCGACGAACGTGGTCGAGTGGAAGACCTAGGTGGGCGGTGAGGTGACCGCTTTAGTGACCGCATCGAGCGGGTCCACTTCTCACAATGAGTAATGACGAAGTGGGATCCACCGACAGAGTTCAATGGCATTCGCGTAGTTAATTCTAATACAGAGGTTAGATAAGAACATCGCTACCTTCATCTTTTTGCTGCCACCATCTCTCTCTCCTCTCGCGGGGCTGTCCTAGCTTCTCAGAGTGGTGCGAGGGGAGGAAGAGACCGTTCGGTGGAGGAGACCCACCCTCCATACTCTCTGCTGGGTTCTATCTCCTCTGGAAGCCCTCCACGCCCTCTGGTGTGTACCTCGCTGGTGGTGAGGGGGGAGAGCTGTCCGGAAGGGGAGGATGAGGAATCTGGACATTTTGGATGCGTCCGGGTTCGTGTGGATGGTGGGGGGTGTGAAATCGGCTTCGGAATGGTGGAAGAAAATCAACGGTTCCGAGCATTGGCAGGACGGGATCTTCTACTCCCTCTGCGCTGCCTACGCTCTTGTGTCCACTGTTGCGCTGGTAATTTCCTTTCACCCACACTCTCCCTCCCTCTCTTCTAGTTATCAACTTCAGGTGTTTTCTATGCGCGCGCGTGTGGTTGTCCTGTGATTGATTTTAGAGTTTTCTGTGGTTTAACCGGCTTGTTCGGAAGAGCTCGGAAAGTTTTCCGCCGAACATTGACGTGTCTTCTTATCTTTGAAATGCATAAATTGTACTGTTGGGCTATCAGTGTTTCTTGCCCATGCTTTTGCATTTTTTTGACTTTTTATCCAAGAGATCAAATAAGGACAATGGCGATGGCTTAGTTGAAGCGTTGTTTGTCTTGTGTGCTATTTGAAAAATTCCCATCTGTCTTGTATTTCTTATTTGTGACTGCTGGATTTAGAGGATTTAATTGTTCCTCTTTTTGTTTGGATTTTGCTGTGCCTTCGTACTAAGTTTCCATCTGTTTAAGCTCCTCTATTCTGCTTACTTCGAGGCTGTAAAATTTCAAGACATCATGCAGCAAAATCAGGCGTTAGCTTCCATATTGTGCTTTCAATAGATGACCATTGTGGTCTTTGAACTGAGTAAAAACTCACTCGTGACATTAAACGAATACAACAGCATGGCGAGCATGATTACAGTAGCCCATTTTCGAAAGAACAACTCCGTTCCTGCATTTGGGTTGATTGAAAATCATGTTTCTTATGAAATTTTCTTCCACGTGGATTGTGCACTGAGGACAATTTTCTAGGCAACTTCAATTCATTGTGTGGTGGGAATGTAGCTGTGGATGAAGCCTTCCATGATGCATTATATTATGGATAAATTTTATGTCCTGTTTTTCTTAAATTCTAAAATTATAGCCGAGTTCAATTCAATATATATTTGCAAGCACCTGCCATCATAGCTAAGAAGTGAAGTTTCTGCTTGGAAAATAGATCAGCAAGTTTATTTTTTGCTCGAGACTTGAGAAACTAGAAGGGCAATGCATTGGTTACAATCAGGGAGGTCCTATTATCTTTCAATGCATACGTAACGTGCTTAGTCCCTTGGTCAGCTAAATCTAATCATAATAGTGATGGATGGTTTGACATACACGGGAGAAGACAGTTAGAGAAAAAACCTATGAATCATCTGCTTTCCTTTTCACTGAAAGGCATGTTTGACAGAATCAGTTCAAATCATTGTTCATACCTTGTTTCTTGATTGCTGATTTTGTTTGGGATACTAGTTTTATTAATGGTGGTTTAGTTAGGGAATCACCAGGAATGTATATATAATTTTAATTGATAAGCAATAAAGACTATGGGAAGAGTCTCAAACTCTTGAAGCCAATAGATGATCTAGATGAGTCTTGCCCTTAGATATTTTGTCGCTCAATCAAGGGACAGTGATGTAAGGAAACCTGGTCAAACTGTTCATGCCGCTTTAACTTGTAATAATCACTGTCATATGGAACCTCCTCAATGATTAAGCCCATATCATTTATGTGCCCTGAAAAGCGTTATTGAAGACAGGTCAAATGAAAAGGTATTCAAATCAATAATACAAAAAAATTTTGTGGAACGTGCTTTTGTCAGCTATACTGGGTTTTGGGCCAAGATGAATACATAGAGATTCTTTAGGAAAATTTTCTAAACCGATCAATTTGATGCCTAGAATGGCGAATCTCCTGGATGGTGGATTCTTGGTTTCAGGTAAAAGTGGAAGTGATCTGGATCTATGATAATATACAGCTTCATGGATGATAGCCTCCCATTTAGGATAGTCTCTTGCATTTATCCGTCAACTTCCTGAAGATGTGGATCAGTAAGAATCATTTGGGATACATTGTGTTTTTGTTTTGTGGGTATAGTGGTTTGGTAGTGCATTGAACAATATATGCTCTATGACTTATTTATGTTGACGAATTTTACGTGAAACAGGTCCTTGAAAAACGATTTGTGCCTATGACGTAAGATGCATACATTTGACTTCGGAATAAGAATGTGATGAGCTCAATCCTAGCATTTAGATATCAATATACCTTTGGGTTGTTTCTGTGAAGTGAACGTTTTTTATCACGAATTTGTGGCATGGTCCAGGTGTCGTGAATTTTAGGCATGCATGTGATCATCAAGGTTTTCTCGCCAGCTATCAACCTTGTTATGCATGCTATGGCCTTCTTCCATGTAATAGGGTGTGCCACATTAACATATTAATGTTGCTCTCTTCAATTCTGATAATGTTTGTCAATGATAGAACTAGCATATCGTAAATTGGAATTCCAAGACGAAGTTTCTATTAATATCTGGTCTCTTCCCTTTCTTGTGGTAAACCGTTATTCAAGCGTATTTTTTTGTGGTTCACAGATTCAATTAATTAGGATTCAGTTGCGGGTACCCGAATATGGTTGGACCACACAGAAGGTTTTCCATTTAATGAACTTTATTGTTAATGGAGGTATTTCCACTGCATAGCTTGTGCTTTAATTTTATTTCTGTTTGGTATATTTAACATTGAGTTGTCTTCTGACTTCAGTTCGTGCCATTGTCTTTGGATTTCATAAGCATGTGTTCCTTCTGAAGCCAAAGGTTAGCTTCTCGCTTAGCCTGGTTATCCAGCAAAACTTCATAGTATGAAAGTAAAGAATGCACTTCGTTTTTTCACGTCTTATTCAACATTCTGAAACTACTTTTTATGAATATGTATGGAAAAGGTACGTTTCTAATGGATGAATCCTGACTACTTTTGAAATCTTATATGGTATATTAATGCTGAAATCCACCTAATCTTTTTCTTAAGTTCCTCACCTCAGAACTTCCACTGCAAGTGATTTTAATTTTCAGGTTCTGGATGCCTGTCTCGGAAGTTTTTGATGCATGTGCTTCGATAAAGGGACTTTTCTCTGGCAGATAACATAGTAGATTTTCAATTTCGAAACCTATACGACTAGATCAAGTCTCCTTTTCTTTTGCAGGGATGAGAGGGTATAGGGTATAGAACATTAGTATTTGGAATGTTACCTGTCACTATGCTCTCTTTGAAAATATTATCTTGAATCATGTAAGATGAAGAAAAATTGAAGTGTGTGAGGCTCAGTCCATGATCTACATCTTAGGAATCTGTTATTGACTAAAGGAATAAGATTGCATGTTCTTGTACCCTATATGTGCCAGCGCTTCTGCTGTAATTGAAGCATATTCATTTGAAGAATCAATGTAGATTATCATGCAAGAAACTGCGGTGGTTTCTATTGTGCTTCCGGTTTGCCTCCTTATTTTGGACTAAAGTATGTCCCAACAGATCTCTTAATGTGTCGTTTGAGGCCTGCAGTCCCATAGTTTTGATTTTTAGATGTACCTAGTGTTGATGAACACATGATCATGCTCACATAATAGATGTGCTTGGGGTCTGCTGCCTTGCAGCGATTCAGAAGAAATCATACAAGTCAGAATAAATGGTATGTATTTTTTGATTGATCAGACCTCTGTGGTAGTGATTTGATGCGATATGTGGTTTAAATTATTGCTGTGAATTGAAAAGTACTTTCTGATTGGAAAACAATGTCACACCAAATAAGGAGAAAAAAGCATGGCGGGAATTGATTAATATCCTTTTTAGAGGATAGTTGATGCAATCAGAGGGGGGAGAAAACGGAAGGGAAAGAAGATGAAGAAAAAAAGGGGAGGAGGAAGCAAGAAGTGTCATTAGCACCTTCTTGTTTCTGTTGACAATAATGCTTCATCCTCCTCTAGCCCTGTCGGTCTAACAATTTCTGCCACTTCTACATGCTAGACATGGCATTGCTTTTCCATGCCTTTCCTTTTCTCCTTACATTACAAAGTCCCAGGAAGCAAAAAAGTAGTTGAGAGTGGGAAGGTCAAATGGAGAGTGGTATGTATTTGTTGACTTGTCTGTTTTCTATATTTCAATTCTTTAATGCACCAATCTGACCCATGTTAGCTGGTTAAGTCAATCCAAGTCATAGTGATATGTATTGGTGTTTAAAGGCACTAATAAGTTCTCACATTAATCCATAAAAGCTTGGCTTTCCACTTCGTGACCTGAGTTATCTGATGAGAGATGATCTGTCATCTGAGTGAGATTTTGACATAAAGCTGGGCATGCTACTTTTCCTGTCATAGACTTGCATCTCATCTCACTACTGTCGGAATTACCGGAAGACAGGAATATAAACATGGCCTAATTCATTTTGTGGTCTTTGCTGCGTAATTCACTGCCTTTATGTCAGAGTTTCATTTATAATGCAATTTATGAGCATTTTCTTTGTCATAGCCATAGTGTGAGATTGTTGTCATGTTGGTCTACTTGGTCCATTTTTCATTCTTTTATCACATGATGTGCTGATTTGAAGCAATCCTGGGATGCTGCTTCGTTAATCTGTTCATATTTTCGAGGTCTTCATTTCATTTGACTCCTCATTTGTGCTCTGTTACATGGTGGAGAGTACAAAAAATGAGTAACGATGATTGTTGTACAATAATTGGCTCTTTTCTATTCACTACTCGGTTCATTGGTTAGAATGATCTCACCCATAGATATGCCAATTCAATGCTCAAGACAATATGCAAACTTTTGTTTGGCATCACCACCTGTTATGTACTGAGGGTCATCGTTCTTTCACCATCTTTACTCTTTGTGTTGGCCAGAGAGATATTCCTTTTCTGCCATAATCTGATCCTTCATTGGTGTGCCATTATGGATTAAGGCTGTGATTTTTCTTGAACTATTTGCTGTCAGCATGCCTCTACATGACCTGAGTTACCGATTGAACTTGATCTGTAGCTTCATTGGATTCCAAATTACACCTCATGATGAGTTGTTTGCGGGTGCAGCCTTATTGTATGATCCACTGTGAGTTTAAAGGACGGAGGATGCTATAAAGATAAATTCACCGAGTGTCTTCATTATTTTTTAACACCAAAGATAATAGTTGTGATTAACCACAAACAATTTCAGTCGGATGCAGAGACCTCTAACCTGTATCTCATGGCCACGTAAACATTTCTGTGGAAAATCATATAATGGTTATTTTCCTGTCAATTAGATAATCTTTTCAGCAAGCAGGTTATGGATCATCACTATTATGTGAACCAACTTCAGGATGAGATGATTTAACGCAATTAATTGTAAATACACTAATCTATAGTAGTGATGGTTGTTTCATTCATTTGGTAAGAGCTCAAGCGGGCCTTATGGTTGTTTAGTTGTATTTATAGAAATTCATCCCGGTAGGTTTGGCTTCTTTCTTTGGGTCACTGATGATTCTTCATTGCTGTGAAGTAATCATAAATTTCAGAAGATTGAGTGTTCAATTTTTTTCAAAAATTATTTTTTTGGGTTATTGTCATGAGTGTGCATCTTATGCAGTTGTTCAGCTTTCCTGTGTTTGGCTGCTCCTCTTCCATTTTGTGGCTTCCTTGAATTTCAATTTTCCATGATTTTTGACGAGGTGGTTGCCAGAACAACAGTTGTTGAGACAAACAATACAAAAGTAATTAGGTCTGTAATTCTTTGAATGAGACCTTTTTCTATGTTTGGCTGTTTTCCAGCTAATCAAAACTATACTTGTCAATGAGAAAATAAGTTTTACTACAGAAGTCTTCTTTTATATTGAAATATTCCAAATCTTCATGGGAAGAAATGTTTCTGACTGTTGCCAGTGTGTGGTTTTTGGTCTTTTAATGACTTGAATATGTAGAATATTTGAAATGTCGTGGCTTGTCCGATACAATACCCATTATCGTGAAAGGCTGATCATGAGTCGCTTCTTCTTTCAATTAGGTGTTGACTTTGGTATTGCTGGACCTCCCTGGAATCCTTTTTTTCTCCACATACACTCTCCTTGTACTGTTTTGGGCGGAAATATATCATCAGGTAAGTTTTCTCCACTATTCCTGCTTGCTTCTAGTTATTAGAATGATGCATCTCTATTCTGTTTGCGCATGAGATTGTATACCTTACTAACCGATAAGGAACCATGTCTTAAACATCTTCTGTTTTTTAACTTTTTACCAGGCAAGAAGTCTTCCTACAGACAAACTGAGAATCGTGTACATTTCAACTAATGCTGCAGTATATTTGATTCAGGTGACTTCTTGTTCAATAGAATCTTTTGACCTGCTAATTAAACTTTTTTCCCGCACCCTTAATAATTAATTTTCTAAAAATGGATTGCATGGCTATTAAAATTATAATAATTTTTTATATTTTTTTTCCTCCTATGAGCATAGATCTGTGTCGGAGGTTGAAGGTCGATGCTGCTATTATGGTTGTAACCACAGATAGATAATCATAGGGTCTCTGCCTGACACACATTAATAATCACCAACGGTAGGACACGTTTAATGAATTGTTTAAAGTATGATGAGATACTATGATCGTAGTGGGGGCTAAAACAATTTTCTTTTGTCAACTATAAAGTCTCCATTTTAAATCTCTTTTAGTTTCTTCATTTTCTTATTGTTATGTACTCTTAAAATTCGTCACAACATCCTGATTTATGGATTGAATTGGCTGATTAATTTGACGTGATTCCAATCTAAATCAGATTTGTCCCAACAAATCTTGAGAATTCTTGTATGGTGCTTGCAAGGTATCCAGATAAATTCATTCTACATCTGATGCAAATAAATAGAATGAAGCCTTTCTATGCTTATGCTCCGTTCAAGCAAATGATCGAATTGATTGAGCTAACTGATTTTTCTTGTCGAGCTAGATACTCTGTCCTAAGAATATCAGGAGATATGGTTAAATTTATTGGATGCTTTTAATTTCTGGACATGGACTTAATCAAGTATGATTGGCTTTATAGTTCTGGTGAATGTGCCATTGCCTGATGCAGAGTTGACTTGGCCATTCCCTTATTGCTTTGTCTCCATGCTAAATCTATCTTGCGGATCGGCAAGTTCGAAACTGAGAAAATTAGTTTTTATCAAAGGAAATGTCTTCTTACTTTGGAGCCACTGAGAGCTAGCTTAAAAGTGATGTGATGCGTGTTAATTTTGACATTTTCTGTAGGATAGTGATCAATAGATACAGTGGAGAACATCATCAAGTTTAATAAATGGTTTGCTAACCGAAATTGTATTGAAAACAGGTTGTGAAGTGTCAGTGCCGCTGCTTCTACGTACTCATCTACTAGGTGCCACAACTCAAGCTCCATAAGGAAGCAACAGTCACCAGCTACAATAAAGTATGGGGGAAACATAATTTCTGAGACTTCAGTAAGGATTATCAAGAGAGGAGGGCAGAATAGAGGAGGTCCAGGGCAATCAGCGACCCTGGCCTGGTGGAGGTAGGACCTAGAGGCTGCAAGACATGCCAATAATTTGGCGCACAGTCACAGCCTAGCGTGCCATAACCACCGTGGTCAAGGGTTAGATAGATGAGATAGCCTTACACTCTGGTACTGCAGACCCTGGCCCAAGTGCAGTTGAAGGGAAAGCGGGTCTATTGAGGAAAATCCAGACAAATTGGATCTGATATAATGACCTGAAATGTTCCCAAAATTGATAGCTGCTCCAAACTCATGATGTAATTTATGAACTCTTGAACTAGTCTCAGTTCTCCACATGCTTTCCGAGGTCTAAGGATATTCATCACTGAGGGTTCAAGATCAAAGTAGGCTGAGGACGCAACATGCTGTGAAAATGATCAACATGCTGATTAGAGTGAGATGCTGTATCACCAGAACTACAAAGGATAATTGGATAGCTAGTGATGCAGGATCTTCTTTTCTGCTGGAGTGATGGGAGGAAGCTCTCTCCCCTTGTGCGAATATTTACGACCTAGTTGCACGTTCTTCGGTAAATCCTTCCTCTACCCCTCTGTCTATTATCCCACCACACCCTAACCTCGACAAACCCAGTTCTGGTCTGTGTATACAAAATTTCAAAATGGAATCTGAAGAGGTGGGACAATTGGCGATTGGAGGGAATTCTAGGAACAATTGATAGTAGTGCAGAAATAACTGATAGTAGAGTATCACTTCGGATTAGTGCTTGGTGTTGGTGTTGTCACTGGCAGTAATGAGGCTGAAGTAGGGATTTGAATTGGGAGGAAGTAGTCCAATTTGCAAAAAGCACGCAGGTATTATTAGGCCATGGTAGATGTGGTCAAGCCATTTCTGTGCGAAATGTGCCAAATAGAAGCTCTGTAGAGTAGTTCGGAATCTGCATGTGTGTGGAAAAAGAGCTAGAGGGAGGTGAAATTCTTCGTTGTCTCTTTAACCTTCTGTGTTCTACATCGATCTTCTCTCCTCTTCATCACCTCGTAGAGGTTGTAGGAGGGTTTCATTCCTAACTGACTATTCCTTCATGAGCTCCACAGCGCTAAAGAAAAACTTAAAGTTGAATGGTGGTCGGAAGAAATCTTAGCTGTGGGGAATTCTCTTGCAAAAGGTGAAATCCCACGAGTAGGAATGAGAGCTATGTAAGTTAGTTTGGTGGATCGGGAGCAATGGAATGATATACGTAATTGATGCCACACGCTAAAAATTTATGATGAAAGAAAAATTGGTCTGTGATCTAAACTAAATGAAAGAAAACATGTAATATTCGTCATTGGCTTCAACACAAGTCAATCAGAAGAAATGAGAGAACTGTATGAATTAATTCGTTCAAGCTATTGGGTCTTTTTCTTTTATTTTGAACTATATTTTTTTCATTTCTTTAATAACTAACTTTAATGGTGGTAAAACAAAGATTTTCATGGGATTCTTATTTTACAAACAAATTATGTCAATTTCTTGTTGCTCTTGCGGACACATGCTGATAACGAGATTTTTGGCGCTGTCAGGTTTGCATTTGGGTTGTCATTTGGATACATGATAATGACCTTGTGGAGATACTTGGGAATGTCTTTGTAGCAGGTCAAGATAACACTGATATCAAGACTTTCCTTTGCTCAAGCTTTTTCTTTCTGCTCCCTGTACTGAACCATGCCTGATTTTCCTCCAATGTTTTCTTCAGCGGTGTCATTTGTAGCGGCCTTGGGTTTCCTTCTATATGGTGGAAGGTGAAATCTTCTTTTCACTGAATGCATTGCTTCGAGGGGAATCGTACCTGAAAATTATCTTATGATGCTACTGTTTTTGCTTCCTGCGTCATATGTTTATTTCTCAACCAAGATGCTGTTAACAGGCTATTCTGCATGCTGAGGCGTTTCCCAATTGAGTCAAAAGGGCGACGGAAAAAACTTCATGAGGTTTGCTCTTGTACTTGCTTGAGACCAGATAAACTAAGCCATTTACATCTGCTACTTCATCTACAGAGACAAGTTCAAGTGTTCAATTTACGCAATGAACTGAACTGGATCCGTCTGAAAATCCTACTATAACTTTGTATCATCATTGTAACCTTACGTTTCATTGATGGAAACAACTATCAACTAGCTTCCCAGACAATTGAAAAAAATATGGATTGCCATCATGAGATTCCACGTACTACTCACTGGCATTCACCATCTGCCACTAGACTTCTTCTTGCTTCTTGAATCTGTTGTAGGATTTATGTGACACAGACTCAGTGAGTGGATTGGCAGACCTAGACTCAGTACATAGTGAAATAATTTAGGGTTGTTGAGATCATGACGCAAAGCTGTTGGAGCACTCATGCTGAGCGAGTTGTGGATATTGCCACTAGCAGAAATGATGAATGCCAAAACTTAGTATAATGTTGCTTCTCTTTGGCTCATTTATTCTTAGTTGGTATTTGAAATTCCCATTTATTCTTCAGTAATCGTCATGTTGCCTGAAATGTTATTTCGATGTTGATTTCAAGGGGGCCAATTGTTTTTATAGATGCTCGCGAATGGACTGAAATCATTTTTTTATTTTTATTTTTTGCATGCATGGAATTCGAAACACTTGTTTGAATTAGGACTATCTGAGACAGATTTCTTATGGAGATTTAACGATTTCTTGGATGCAGGTTGGGTCTGTTACAGGGATTTGCTTCACCTGCTTTCTCATAAGGTGCTTCGTGGTGAGTATTTTATACTGTCAGATGGAAGATTACATATGACTTAAGGAGAGCTCTGCATCCTTAACAAATCACACTTCTGGAAATTACATGATAAAAAACAAGTAAAAAAGGAAAACTGAGTTAAGTTCTTAATACAAATGGCCTCTGAGACATTTCTGAAAGAAGATTGACTTAAGATGACGCACTCTGGGTATTTGCCTGGAAGAGATCGTCATGCGTAGAAACCCATAACAAACTTTGTGGGAAAAGAAAAATACTTGCACGCATACAAAAATAAAACAAAGAATACGATCAAGTGATGAAAATTCCCATAATACCTAGTAATTACATGCCGAAGTGGGAAAGAAAGAGAGTGAAGTGTGTGCATTTAACATCCTAGAAAGAATGAAATCTGGACAAAACTCGGAGAGCCCATGCACATGATTACAAGAAAGGAAATTGAATAAGATATAGCTCGTAGTTCTGAGTCCTTTCTTTTCCCAATACTTTCTGTCGCCAGCCAGTGAATTTTTAGTGAACACAGTTGAAAGAACTCCTAATGAAAGTAGTACCAGCATCACTTGATTGTAACAGAGGTAACAGAGCCTGCATCAATCGCTTGTTTCATGGAAATGGTTTAGAAGGATAGGTGAAGCAGCTCCTTAGTTTAAAGGTAATTCCAACTGTTGCGATCACACTCCCATCATTGGTCACCAGACATTTCTTCGGAACCCGTACTCCCTATTTTCCCCACTTACTACCTATTGCCCAATGCTGATAGTTCTGGTTTCTTTCCCCTCTCCTGTTCTAGTTCAGTCGTTCCACTTTAGGAAGAAGACAAACAGAGGAAAATATGTGGAGGCGATGCCAGAAGCAGGCCCTGAAAACACATTTACGAAGCATGGATGAATCTAGTGGGAATTTACCGTTTATAGCAAGAATATAGAGTTCTCAGCAGCAGCCTTAGTCCCACTGGACTGCATTGTCTCCCTCTTTGGCAGCTGCAGCTCCCCACTTCCATCCTCACACACGAGGATGGAAACTACGATGGGAAAGACTAAGATTGGCCCTGTATCTGTAGCAGTGAGCTCCTGAACCCAATGGGATATAATTATCCTGAAATGGTCAGTCCTCTTCTAAAACCAACTCCATAACTGGGTCTTGCATAAATCTCCATAATGCTTGCCAGTTTTCTATTAAATGTCCTACCTACTTTAGTTTCTTCGACATTCTGAATCATAGCTTGGCAGAGTATGGGTTTTCCATACATAAACGGACCTCAACAGACTCTCTCTGTGTGCATGGTATGCCTTCAATGTGTTCTATGTTTGTATTGATTTCTCTTGAGCTTAGTCCTCCTACTCTGCTGCAGAAGAGAAAAGCACCATCTTTCTTAGGAATGCACATGCCTTGAGAGTTGATGTTGGGGATCCATCTTACTGACCTGAATGCGACACAATCAAACCCAGTGACCTCCAAACCTGTTCCCTCATAAATTTTAAGAACCCTAAATGTCTGACTTGATCAGGCGTGCGGAATCACTGCCTGCTGATGCGTCCCAACTCTACTCAATATCTGTCTGTTACCACAGGCTACTTTCATTCTCTCATCTTGTTTTTCTCTGCTGCTTGTGTCAGGTCGGAGTTTCTGCATTTGATTCCAACGCATCTCTTGATGTCCTGTATCATCCAATACTGAACCTCGTCTATTACACGGTAAGTTCTCATCATGCTGGTCGCTGACTTCAAATCAATCTGCAGTCTCTGCGTTGACTTTTCTCATTTCTGATACTCCATGGCAGCTGACTGAGATTGTTCCCTCGGCCCTCGTCCTATATATACTGCGGAAGCTACCGCCTAAGAGAGTATCAGCTCAGTACCACCCTATCCGATAATATGAGAGGAGAGGCTAAGTGCCTCTGCCACTGTGCTATCTATCAGCTCTTAAGGATTATTATCTCAACGTGATGTGTATGGATGTTAATGAAACTCTCTCCAGATCTTGCTGACGATTAGGAGCAGATTTTTTTCAGACCAAAGATCTAATGGGGGGATCCAGATGGGCAATTCAGGAGAGCAGCATAGTGGTTTGATTTTGAAGTGGAAACCGAGATCGTCTGCCATTTGTTGCTATATTTGTTCTCTATTATGGGGATTGTAATTCATAGACTCGCTTTTTGTAGGAGTCATATGAGTCGTCTCAAGTCTGAGTTAGATGATCTGATTCAAGGTTATCGAACACTGAGAGGTTTGTTTCTGTGCTTCATCTTTTGGCATGAATATTGATTGAGCAAGGAACTGACCTGCTAGGCCATGGACAACATTCGACATTCATCAGGAGGTAGTTTAAATTTTATTTTATTTTTCTATGAAATATAGGTGATCAATCAGAAGTAGAAGGGAATAAGTTTGACCAAGTTAGAAGATGAAGAATTGGATAAATATTTAAAACGTTCGATCATTATTTAGACTCCAATCGGCTATCCAACTGTCCAACAATGATTGTCACATCATCCTCAAACTTCCTTTTATTGAATTCCAATGGATGGAATTTAAATGCCATCAAATGCAATAGAACTACCATTTATAGCTGGACGATTGCTGTGAAGATTTTTCGGTTAAATTGGGGTTGAATATATACAAGTATTTGATTTAATATCTTCTAATTTCGTTATACGTCAACCGATTTGATTCTGCTAGGCTGCCTTTGAATTAACTCTTGATGGTAAAAGAAAAAGAATCAAATAGATTTATACGTCAACCAATGTGACAATTGCATTGAGTTAAACATGTGAAAGTTTGAATAATTTTGATGGTGACAAAATCTGTAGAAAGGTAAATGATAACAATAGAAATGACAACATTACTTGGTCCATTAAACATAAATTAGAACAGATGGAAGCATATGCTAATTCAAGAAAAATATGCTCAAAGGTAAAAATAGCTATTTTACATCTCAAAGAGAACTAAGATATGTTCTAGACATAATTTTTGTTAAAATTGGGATATGAATGCATATACTCGTCACAAAGAGAATTCAGAGACAAACACCATTCAACAAATGTCACAGTAAAAATCAAACATTTTGATTTTTTATTAATTTTAGAATATTAACAACCATTTTATGAAGCTTGAATTTCGGTGCTGATTTGACATCAAACACGTAATTTTCAGCCATTGTAGAGACTATGTTGGATCGCCCCGGACTTAGTAAGGAGCCTTCAATTCACATTAATAAAAGAGGAGAGATAAGAGTCACAATGGTGACACACTCCATCCAAAGAGTCTACACAAGCTTACAACTGAACTGCGTGCGACAAACAGAAGAAAATGGGCTTCTGCTTGAGTTCTCATTGTCTTTCTCTCACAAGTTACTTGTGCATCATTGGGCAAACAAACCCACACCACATAAGCCTATAAGTTCTTAGGTTAGGTTCCCTCTCAGTTCAGGGCCAAAGAAGGAACCTCGGCCCAAGCCCGTTTTGGGGTCACTTATGGCCGAAAGGGGAAAGATACTGTTAGAGGGAACTGAACATAGAATGGGTCCAGGCCCACTTAGGGAGTTAGGGAAGATAAACCTCTGAACTCCCTCCTTCCTTTGAGAGCACTTTCAGGAAAAGAGGGGGACACTGTCAAATCCGTCTTGACTGTTCTAGGGTTTCCATCAGAAACTCCCTTTTTTGTTACTCGTAATGACTGTGAGTTATTTCTTTTACATGTCTGTTGTCTTCTTCTCTGCAATCTGATTGTCGTATGTGATAGGGTTCCATTAGGTATTTCATCGTCTGGTATTAGAGCCATGGTGCCGAGGGATGGAGACCAAGTCAAGATGGTTGCAGCTAGCTTAGATGATGATGTATTATTCTGGTTCCAATGGACAGAAGTTAGAGAACTCGTCAAGGGGTGACAAGACATCAAACATAGAACTACGGAAGTGATTCAGCTTACAGTCAAAAAGGTAATCAATGTGAACAGTTTCTGGACATCAAGGAGAAAGTTAACTTAGCAAAGTGGAGAAGGGAATTTGAGAGATTATCCTGCACTATCCACACGCTGACAGAGGAGACCATGGAAAGTACTACGACAGGGCATTTGAGTAGAGGTCAAATTGTTCAATCCACAAGGCCTCAACAGTATGATGGACACATCACAAGTCATATGGGAGAGAAATGTAGTCCTCATAACGAGCTCGGTCGAAAGCGATTGACATGTGGATGGTGAAGGCTCTCTCATACAATTGAGTTCGGGTGAAGGACTCTTAAGGTATAGAATTCAGGGAATCAGGCAGTACAGCTCATAGGATTAGCAGCTGAAACCCCCACAGCGTGGCTGCGAAAGGGACCGAAATTATACAGCAGTCCACTAACATGAGGAGAATATTCTGACTTAGCAAAGTAGAATTATAAGACCAGAGGAGTAAAGGGCTATGTTTTTCATGTGATGAAAGATTTTTGCCTAGCCACATCTTCATAAAGGACCTGCAGCTGATCCTAGTTTATGATGAAGAGGGAGGTCTGAATGAGCCAAAATCATCACAAGTTCGTGAGATGACTCGCGGGCAGGAAGAAGAGCAAGAGCCACCCATTGAGATCTCTCTCAATCCTATATTGGACTCATATTGTTAAGGATGATGAAACTGAAAGGGCAACTCATCAACTGAGAAGTAACAGTGTTACTAGATTGTGGAGCAACCCACAAACTCATTTCACGAGGACTGGTAGGTGACCTCAACCTTCTCTTGGTCACGACAACGAATTATGACGTCATTTTGGGTGATGGTCTACAATGATGAGAGGGTGAGGCATATGCCAAGGACTGAAGTTGGAGCTACAAAAATTAGTAGTAGAAGAAATATTTTTTTGTTTAATTTTAAGAATTTTCTCTAAAATATATATTTGTAATGATATATTGATATATAGTTGTGATCATCCTTCTCATAGCCAACACCTCACCAAAGTTTACAAACTATTGGAAGAGCACCCACTGCATGTTCACACTAAGAAATATGTTTTTGGTACTCATTACATTGAATATTTCGGTCATTTAGTATTTCAAATAAGGTGTGGAAGTAGATGATAGCAAGGTCAAGGTAATGAAGAATTGGCCTACCCCCAACAACTAGTGGGAGGCCAATTCTATAAGCATTTTTTGTGGCTCATTATGAGATTATAGTACAACCCCTCACTCAACTATTAAAGAAGTAAGGGTTCACATGGGGCAAAGAAGCTAAACAATTCGTTCAACAGTTCAAACAAGCTCTCAGCATGATTCTTGTCCTAGCTGTTCTAGACTTCTCATAGTGGTTTGAGTTAGAAGCAGATGTATCGGGTTACGAGGTTCGAACAGTTTCTATGCAGGGTAGGAGACTAGTGGCTTATTTCAGCCAAACTCCTTCCCTCTGTAGTCACTTTTGAAATTAGCTTAGGAAAGGGAGCTCAAGGCCATAATCTTGACCATTCTTAAATGAAGACATTACTTGATTGGTGGTTTTTTGTTATTTTCACTTACCAACTCAGCCTTAAGTTTCTTCTTGAACAACAATAGGTGCATTTTAGTATACCAAAAGTGGCTGGTAAAAAATTATGGCCTTTTGACTTTACCAGGAAGCACTAGGCCAAAGTGGAAAACAAGGTAGTGGACGCCATAACTCAATCCTCTACCTTCCTTATTGCAAGCGAAGATAAACACAACTTCCTATGTCATTGATCAGCAGCAACTTTGTTCAAAATGAACGTCTATCCAAGATTAAGTCAGTCCTACTACATTGCTCAATGAGCTGGCTGCACCATGGGGTCCTATTGTATTGTGAAAGAGACACCCTGTCAGCCACGTTGAGTATGATTTCATCACTCTTACAAGCCTATGATGATAGTTCTGTAGAGGGTCATTTGGGCTTCTTATGAACCTAGAAAAGGATCATTTAAATGATTATTGGCTCGAGATGAAGCAAACCATCAAGGATTATACCCAACACTGCTTGACTTATCCATGCAACAAGTATGAATTAGTCATTGCCTACTAGATTATTATGACCCCTCCCTACTTCCAACCAAATGTTGGAAGAGTTCAACATAGATTTTATAAAAGGTTTGCTCAACTCGTGAGGGTTTTGAACTATTATGGTAGTTGTGGATAGTCATTTTATTTTGCTGAGACATCTTCTCACAACAGCCATAGTAGTTGAAGAATTCATTACCCATGTGGTGAAGCTGTATGACTTTCCCTTTCGATCTACCATATCAGATTTTCACAAGCCTATTCTGGACTAAATTATTTTGCCTACAAGGCGCGAATCTTAAACGGAACACCATCTTCTATCCCCAAACAGAGGTACTCAATAGATGTTTAGAGACTTGTCTTTACTATTTTTCGTGGTAGCCAGCTGCTCCATGTTTGGGCCAAACAGAGGATCCCCCTCTGATTATCAAGGTTTCTGAAATGGAGATATGAGTGGCCATAGTGGAAAACTAGATATATTAGCAAGACCTCATCTTGATGGAGCTTAAATAGAATTTAATTTGTGCTCAGGCACGAATGAAAACCCAAACAGATCAACGTAGAAGATAGATTGAGTTTCAACTTTGCAACTTGGCTTTCCTTGAGCTTCAACCCTATCAAATGCTGTGTCCCTAGCCCACAGAAGAAATCAGAAACTCTCACACCATGTTCCCCGTATGATTGGGCAGGTCGCCTACAAACTAGAACTACTTGGGGGATGCCAAGATACACCAAATCTTACATGTCTCACGGCTTAAAAAGGTGATTGGCACCAACTCTTAAGGCCAGCCTCTCACACCACTCATTGACAAAGATTTACATGAAAAAGGTTCAGAGGGACCGGAACTACTACTCAAATGGCACCATCTAGTAGAGTTTGAGGCCACATGAAAGGCATCCCACATCGCTCAAAACTACACCAATTTCAACCTTGGGGACAAGGTGGCTCCAATGGGCCGGGGGGGTAATATTAGGTTCCCTCCTAGCTTCCCCTCTGGACTGCCTTCAAGGCCAGCAGAAGGAACCTCAACCTTGCCTATTTTGGGGTCACTTATGGCCAAAAGGGGAAGGAGACCGTAAGAGGGAACTGCAGACAAAGTGGGCACAGGGCCCACCAAGAGAGTTAGGGTAGATAAACCTTTGAACCACACCTTGGAAGGCACTTATGGGAAAGAAGTCAATGGGACAGAGGGATACCCTCGAATCCGTCTTGACTGTTCTAGGGTTTCCTTCGGAAACACCCTCTTTTCTTACTCGTAACCTATATTCATCACTGTGGATTGTTCTTTATTCATCTCTGTTGTCCTCTTCTCCACAATTTGGTTGCTATTTGTGATAGGGTTCTATTAGGTATTCTGTCACATGCTAAGCATCTCAGAGCATTAATTTGTCCTTCAGTTGGAATTGAATACTCCCAATATTTGGGCCTCTTAGAGTTGTGAGTCTAGAGTAGATGAGTTGGATGCTAATCGAATAGACCTTCTAATGCCATAAATGTAGAGGAGATTAGTTGGATCCTAAATTGGTAATTTCTCTAGAGTCATGAGATTTAATTGAAATCTTTAATTTTTGTTACATCATTTATTATATCATTAGTTGCATTATGTTCCTCTTTTCTTACTCATAATAGACCTTTCCTCAATTCAGTCTCATACTACGATTTAGAACAATTGTGATGACCAAGTTAGTCTTAAGATCTTTAAATTAAACATTTTCTAAACAATCATTCTAACTGAATCTAATGATTAATGTATTTAATCGATGGTCAGTAAAACCATTTTGAAATTGATATTCGAATCAACATTTGAACTAGTGTGATTTGGATAATTAAACTAGCTTCTAAAATTTAATACTTTAGAACTTCTAATCTATATGCTAAATAAAACTATAAGAAAAAGGATTTAACCCAATATCATTCAAGCATATATGAGACCAATTAAAGTCTTTAATCTTGTCATTAGTAAAAAAATATCCAAAAAAACATGATTTGTTGATTCTAATGTTGACATGATAGAAAATGTCAGATTGAAGCATCAAAAGGGTGATGATTGAACACTCAATAGTCTTTTTTGAATGTAAAAAGTCTGAAATTTCTGACATTGAAAAGATATTACAGGGGGAAAGGTTATATTACATGGTGTGACAAGGTTATTAAATTATTTACAATTTACTAATTATCAATATTTTATAAGATGACAATTAAGTGCTATTCGAAATTTATTTATTTTTCTTTATGATCTAAATTTAATCATTTTCAAGGGTCATGATGACCTAATAATAATATAATTATTTTTCCCCTTTAATCCTCAAATCATGGAAAAGTAAGTTTTCAAATATTTTATATACGAAGCTTAAATTAAATATAAGACAACTAGCACAAATTGCTATCTAAGGGTAATCTTGTTGCATCATAAAGATAATAATGGATCATGAATTGACTTATGGTGTAAATAATGGGTTTTATCATCTTTACCCTTGTAATTAAATTACATTAACCATATGATTTGGGGATGCCATCTCTGGTTGAAATGATGTTCCAACTCTGAAGAGTCTTAAATTTCTTTGTATTTGACAGGTAATAGCATAGCCTAATGTAAACTCACCTAGGACAAATTCCATTTAGAGGAAATAATTTTGGATATCTACTACATGTTGAAGGGTTTTAGATGATGTAATTACATCTTAATGTGAAATTAAGTTTCAAAGTCAACCAACTTTCAAGCATACATTCCCTTTTCAATTTGACTCAAATAGAGATGGACGGTATGTCATCGAAATCAAATTGTTGTACTTAACCCATAAACCATATTGAAATGCACTCCCACCAACACCTCCAAAGCATTTCTCCTAATCTACTAATATTCATTTACTTCCTCACATATTTTCCACTTGTTGATCCCATCCATTATTCAACCTCATTCTCATGTTTCTCTCAACTTAGAGACACTAGGCATCTCATATGCTAGCTTTGGGAATTTTAGTTTTGATGATGACAAAATCAACAGAAGGGTATAATGATCATATCAGAAATAGTAGAAATACAAAACATACCGTTATACAAACTTCAAGGGAGAATAACGGGCTATATCATAAACTCACTTTGGCTCATCTAGCTCAATTTGGATCTTCATATCTGCATAGAGGTGCACCTTTGTTAGATACCCAAGATCTTTCACATTTGATAACAGCACATGAAAAATCGTGATGTTAGCTCACATATCCCTGAACAGCCGCAAAGCAGTTGGCATCCAATCAACCTGCATTGACGTAAAACAGAATGAAGAAGAAAGAACCTGAAAAGCAGTCACATAACTCAGATTGATTTGTATGGATATCCGAAGAAAAGGCGAGATCATCAAGCAGGGGTCTTATAATCTCAAACTACACTGTCATGTGAGTAGTCCTCCAAGTGGTCACAGTTTCCTGATTACATTCAATGAACGAGTGAAATCATAATAACACGATGGTAGTTCAGCAGGTGATTGCAATTAATTGACTACATTGAAGGTACTCATCTGACTAAAAAGTGAAATTATAGTAGCATGCTGGTAGTTCTTCAAGTGATTAGAGCTTGCTGATTACAATGAGGCATTCATTTAATGAAACAATAGAATGGTCCTAACATTTTGGTAGGTCTTCAAGTGATTGCAGCTCGCTGATTACAAATAGGCATCCATTTAATGAGATAGTAAAATTACAATAACATGTTGGTGGCTCTTCAAGTCATGCCTGAAATGGAATCCCCAGTCCTCCCTATCTGGGATAGATGACGAGCTTTTTGGCCACCAGCCGAATCCCAGCGTTCTGCTGATAATCATATACATCGATCACAAAATAGGCATCAAGGATAGTCCCCGGAACGAAGAGTGGCTGCAGCTCTTCAACATCCAGCTTGGCGAAGACTAGCTTCTGGGTATTTCCAGAAGGCTCTTTCTGGTAGATTTCAGTCGAATAGGTGGTCACGTTGCCATTAGCTATGGTGGGTATTCTGAAAAGGGGTAGCAGAATCCAATCAGCAGCATCTTCCACAATTAGCTGATTAGAACATCAGACAGAATTTGTGGGGGAAGCGAGGGAGTTTACTAGCAGTGTAGAAAAGCATTATGAAATAACTCAAAATAAAAAGATGGGCCATTTATGATAATCGAACATAGCTTAAAAATAATTTTTATTTTCTGGATCATGTGGGGAAAGTTATTTCCCAGGCTGAGAATTTCCTTGTATGTCTCTTTCTCATAAAGAAAATTATTAAATCAGGAGTCCCACCAATCATCATAGATAATCCTTCATATTAGCTCTTCCACTCTTGCCATAGAGGGGCGGGGGGGCATTTCCCTCGTCCACTTATAGAAAGTAGTAGTTAACAGATCATTTCATTAAGATTGAAAAGAATTAGAATGATTATTAGAATAGACAGTGTCATATTACTCTGTTGACAAGCGGTTTACAATATGTGACTATTAGGCCCATATTAGGTCTTGTGTGCTGAGCCCATCTCTCCTCTCTATTCAGAAATAGATGAGGGTGGGCAAGTCCGAAACCCTATTTTGGTTATTCTCAATTATCTAACAAAAAACAGCAAGTATTTCAATCTAAGGATTAAATACTTTAAACCCTTCAAAAGAAAAAGGAACTTACTGCAACCGGATGGTTGAAGAATCTGAAGGGGCAGTCCTTTTGACAACGGGTCTCCACTCAGAGTCGCTGCCAGATTCCAAGGCTTTACTCCGAGCAAGGCCATTGCACACATCCAGGAGATTGCATAAGCTCGGAGGGGCATTGACTACAATGCTCAACTTGGGCCGGCCAGCATAGTCCAGAAACTTCGTATTGACCCCAAAGTGAACTTTCAGGCCCCCAGAGAAAAGCTGCAAGGGAGTGCTTTCGTGTAGCATCACTATTCTGTTCCCACTGCGGTAAGACTGGACCAAGGATGCACTGATGCAAGAGGTTGAAACCATCTCAGGCTCCAAGAATCCACAATGGCGATTAGATTCCTCAGAGGTTCCAGGTTCACGAGATATCTGAGCAAAGCCTGATGTCTGGGCTCTGTCAATGCCAGTATCTGGTGCTATGGAATCAAGGTTCATCTGTTCAATTAATGGTGTTAAATCGGGACCTATTGTTGGGGATTCTTGGCTATAATCAGGTGGGCAATAAGCATCCAATCTAGTCGTGCTTTGATTAAGAGGGGAGCTCTGATGATCTTTTAAACCTAGATAGGACATCCCTACAGGAGTCTTGGTGCCATCTTCCATCCCTACAGGAGAGACTGTCCTGCTACTGCTTCCTGTCGTAGCATTTTCAACAGCACAGATAGAAAGGGCGGAGCATTCCATGAGACTTGACTCCTGCATATAAAACAGATAGATAAAAAGAAAAGGAGTCCAGAGGTACGATTCAAATTAATGGCCCGGCAGAGTTTGATGAGCAGAGAAGCAGGACAACTATCGTTGCAGGTGAACAAATTCCAGTTGAAACCCTTAGATAATTTCTTTAAACTTCATTAAGTGGCAATAATATGAGATACCTTAGAGGATCAATATACTGCAATATCATCCATAGAACATTTAGTCTGCACCAGCGTGATTAAAAAGTGCCCACTACAAGATCATCAGTGAGATTTCATTTTCCTTGTCTCATTAGGCTAAAAATGCCTAGTCTGTTGGTCTGCTATCCTCGATGTAGCAGAGGAAGGGCTAAGGCATAGGGTATGGTGATAACCGAAAGAAAAAGGAAAACAAGTCACACAGAGCATGTTTTCTGTAGCTACAATATCATCCACAGAACATTCAGTCTGCACAATCATCTCTACAGTAGAGATGATTATGCAGGTTGTATACAAAAAGATGATGAACTTATGAGCATGTTCTATTGAAGGCCACATGAGTAAAGAAAGGGACAAAGTAGGAGGATATGTACCAGAAATAACACGGTTGCACAATATTTGACAACTTCAAGATTCATCCGAACATCATCCAAGCTCCTATCACACAATGTCAAGGAAATGCTTAATTTCAATATTCTAATTCGCATAAAATAACACATTGACGGTTAAAATTTATACCAACCTTACATTGACATCACCCAAATAATGGAGGATAAGCAATAACAAAACTAAATGGAAGACAGGCAAAAATGCAGATGCAGCTAGTTCACAACCGTACTAGTTGTGGAACAGTAGCACTACAAAGACAAAATATCAACCGGTTGGCACAATACAGTGAAGGCTGCTTGTCAGATGAAAGATGATGACCATAGTGATAGACTGCACTAGATTTTTAATATTCATAACACGGAATCGTTTTCACTTTTGTTGCTGAATCAAATACATTGCAGAGTCAAGGATGCCACTTGCTGTATCTGCGACTAGAGGGGTTTCCAATTTATCTACACTACTGATAAAAACCTGATAAAATCCAGTTCCAAGTGGAGTTGAGATACCAAACTTTGCTGTAAGATGTTTGTAGGGAAGTTCTACTTACATCCTAAATATCACTAATTACACTGAAAAGCTGTTTCTTACATATTTCAATATCAGAGTCTTTTAGGGGGGGAATTTCCAAAACAAATAACAGAATTTTTTTCCAAAGAGTTTTGGATCTTCAAAAAAACAATATCTTGCCATCTTTGTTCATCTTGACACAATTTTTTTATTTTTACAGCATCCCTTTGCAAGATAGTGAAATATCACATAAAACAATAAAATTTGAAGTTGACATAATACAAATCATTCAAGATCTGCTCCAAGGCAATGCCATCTCTTTCACGCCTGGCTTCCCTGACTAATGAATCACCTAAACCAGTTATCACGTTTGGTACATGAACATTGTCTAAGATTAGTAGCTACAGGGATGAGAATGACAAATCAATGACTAAGGAAAATAATCTAACAAAACATACTGATATGAGTAATGACCCTTCAAAGATCAGCTCATGTGGAATGTTGGAACACTGATAATGTTCATTCGACAGACATGAAGCAGATTAGTGCTTAGTGTAAACAAAAAAACAAAAACAGCATCAGCTGTGAGTGATCGCAGGAGAGAAAACGACTCGATAAGAAATTTGTTATATTTTCTTTAGCTCCGAGAAGGAACATGACTACAAAGATTTCATATAGGAGCTGGAGAAAATTAAGATGATCTTTTGGTAGTTATGATAAAGTCGCAATCCTGAAAGCTAGGGGCTAATGGTATCATCTCATCAGTTTCATCAAATGCCAACTGCCACAGTGGTGGGAGACCGATGACTTTTATCTGTAGCAGTTGAAGCCCAGAAAGCAATGTTCTTGACGCTCATGAACCATTAAACGGTTTATTCCTATTCATGCTTGACAGAAGTCAAATGACAAAGTTTGTCATCTTTCTTGCTCATCTGTAGCCACTCGGATTTTATGTCGAAATTTAGTGGGTTTTAGTGGCTTTCCCTTTATCAATGAACAGAGCAGTTTGGAACGAGCAAAATCTGATTGCCCCAACAGAAGTGAAAAAGCATTCGCTCCAAGAGGTTTTATAGATTAAAAAGAGATGAGATGGCCCACAGAAGAACATCATGAATATTCACTGGCAAAGCTGAGTTGTCGTTCGAGTCTGCTACTGACTATTCGTTGCTTCACAATCTTGATTCCATGTCTCAAGTCCTTCTCTAATGATGATGCAGTTTCTCACGGAACGTTATCAACTAAGATCAAGTCGGTGTAGCACTATATGACCTAATGATTTACCACTAATCTTGAAATGGAAAGGAAGAGTCCATAAAGCAGAATTAGCGCTGAGAAGGAAATAGGCGCAAAAAAGATTTGAAGGGGGGTAAGTTGCTGATTACCTGTGCTTCTGTCGCCCAAGCCCGAAATAATTTGCTAATGTTGCCATCTGCAGGAAGAAGGTCAGGGAGAAAATTTCAAAACAGCTCACAGGCATTCTCCTAGGTTTAATACTAGGAAAAGTCATAATTGAGGATATCAGAAACATTTTATCTACCTTCATGTCACCAGCTCTCTTTCCGAATCTCTGAGAGAGCAGGCGGAGGGAGTCAATGGTGCCAACAGACTCGGGAGCCGGACGCCCAACCGCCTCAAACGCCTCCCTGATGCGAAGGCAGTCGAACCTCAGAATGTTGTGGCCAGCCCACACCTTCCCTGCAGTGCAGAATCGATCGAAGCGGAGGAAATATGAGTAACAGAAGAGAAGCAGCAGCATAAAACAGGACCGCGTCTAGTTAGAAGGATGGCATCGCCGAATCTCAGTCGTCGCCCAGTCCATCGACCTACCATGGAGGATTTCGTAGACGTGGTCGGCGACTTGCTCGAAGTCGGGGGCGGAGGAGACGGACTCCCGGGTGATGCCGTTACAGCGAACGGAGGCTGGGGAGATGACGGACAGGTCGGGGGGCCGGATAAGGGTAGAGTAGCTGCCAAGCTCCACCAGCCGGCGGGGACAAACGAGGATAGCTCCGAACTCCAGGAGAGCATATCCCTGCCCCGTCCTATACGGTATGGAGGTCTCGACGTCGAAGAAGGCGATAGATGGCGCCTCCGGGATAGAAAGGACGGAGGAGGGAGTGGGAGTCAGAGGAGAAGTCGGAGCATCCATCGATCCAGAGACAGGGCTGCGGCGGTCACTCGCCGGCGACGCCACCTCCGCCGTCGCGGAACCCGACGCCATTTGTACTCACCTCGCGAACGGCGCAGAGCAGCAGCCTTGAGAACAACTTTCCAATCCGACGGAGGCAATCGATGCCGTCCGACAGCGGAGTACGCTTGGCATCTGCCGGCAGCTCCTACGGTGAGGAAGATGAGGAGGAAGCCACCGGAAGGCTCCTCCCGTTGGCGGAGCGCGGGGAGGTTGAAGGAAGGTATCGCCGCCGACCCTGCCGACCTTCCGGCGAAGGGTATTTATGGTATATACTTATTTTCAAATTGTCTGAGAAGGTTGAGTTGGCCCACTCATGGTCCTAATAAAACTCCCAAGACTCGTTCTCGATTTTCCAAAAAAAACTTATATTTATGTAAGATGAGAAAATTACAAATATGTCCTTCCGGCGATGGCGGCAGCGGTCCCCACATGCTACTCTCCCTCACCACCACCGCCTTATGCCACGTACCCATCCTACAAGAGTATTTATGGTATATATTTATTTTCAAGTCAGCCGAAAAGCTAGACACGGACCTCATCATAGTCCCATAACTCCCCAGCCTTACCTGATTTTCTAAAAAGGGTATATTTGTGTAAGATATAAAAATTATAAATATGTCCTTCCAGCGGCGGCGGTTTTTCTTCTCCGTATCACTCGCTCAAGACCACGGTGTCATGCCACGTACCCAACGCGTAGGGGTATTTACGGTTTATATTTGTTTACAGATCGACTAAGCTTCATAGCCTGGTAAACTCCCAAGACTTTACTCTTGATTTTTCTAAAAAGGGGCATTTTTTCTATAATTAATAAAAATTACAAATGTCCTTCCGGCTAAGGCAACAGTGGTCTTTCATGTCCCCACACTCCCTCATGACCACCGGCTAAGGGTATTTATGCAATCTATTTATCGATGAATCAGCTGAAAAGCTTGACTCATACCTCCCCCATAGCCTCATAAACTTCCAAGATTAACACTTGATTTTCTAAAAAAGGTATATTTGTGTAATATGTAAAATTTATTAACAGAGGAAATAACATATTAATCCTTTTATTTTGTTGGCTGACATTTTCAAGAATTTAAAGGATAGAACGTTGGAAGAATGATGTACTAAATTGACTAGTAAACTTGTTGAACTTGACTGGCTCCCTCCCTCTCTCCCTCTCTCTATCTCTCTCACATACAAATTGGAATAGGCTTATACAACTAGATTGCCCATTAAAAGTCACCTTATGTTTGCCATTGTGATATTTTCTAATATAGATCTATTGAGGTTATTTCATGTAATTCTTATTTTTAGTAGTATTTATAAGAATATCTCTTAAACCCTTCTTTTCACATCAAAGTCCCAAGATGAATTGTCATTGTAAGTCCCCTATGTGTTGATGTTTGCATACTCTCTCAACATCTAGCTAATCGCCCAACACTCCCTTAGTACTAGAGTGCATAAACCTTCATATATTCCCTTTATAAACATTGGCCCCTTTATCTATAGTGCCCCTTCTCAACTTTTGCATGGACCATTGTTTTGGAGCCATTATAGCTCCTTTGTGACACTCCTACCATTGCAACCTGTTCCCATAGATGCTTGTCCTTTGTGCTCTTTTTGCTTGTTGCATTGTGTGCACCTATTGTAGCGCATGCCTTTTGCACTGCACATGATTGTCAATTCTTTCCAATACTCCCTTAGCTATCATGCATGCCCTCTGCATTGCATGTGCTTGCCTATTCTTTCTCATGACATCTTCCCTCCTCACCCCTTTGTGACTAGAATAGGCTCAATGTCCTTGCTAAAGTGTATTCATACCAAAGGATGAGGCTGTTGTGACTTATTCTATTATGATTCTTCATCGTCTCTCTTATATCATATGAGGAGAGAGACCTGAAAAATATGATGTATAAGCAATCTAGGGGACAAGTAGAAGTGATATACTATTTGGCCTCAATGACCTCAATGACCATAGTCCTTTGTATCCAGGGAGGAAGTTGAGGAATTGTTTGTGGATGTGGAAACTTTTTGTAGACCATTAGAACGACCCACTCAAATACTTTGTTGTCGACCTCTGGCTCCATCTCATGTTAATTGTGATTGACAATCTTCTTTATGAGGTGGATGGCATGTGCTAAAGCCTCTTTGGTGTCTTCTAGAATCTTGGACTCATTTCACTATCTATTATGTCACCAAATAGTGTGTCAAAACTACCATTAGATTGGTTAGAATAGTTGGTTGGTGTCTCATTACCAACTTGAATGGTGAATATCTTATAGAGGAGCTTTCTAATAACATATTAGTCCATTCTATTTGTCCATATCTATGGATGGTACACTGTAAAGAATCAATGCTTGTCTAATTTAGAGAATAACATACCTCATTATTAGTTGGTGAATTGTAGTTCCCTATCAAAGACAATGGCCTCATGATGGTCCTTAGAACTTAGCAATGTGTGACATGAATAGCTTCATGACTTCCTCTACATTGCGAGTGGCTTGTGTGGAAATGAATGAAATGTACTTGATCAACTTGTTAACTAGGATTAAGATGTGTCATAGTAATTTACATGTGACAAGTCAATAACAAAGTCTATGGTGACTGTCTACCAAGATTCATATGGAATGAGGAGAGGTTGTAGAGTCTAGATCCATTTCCTACACTTCATCTTGTCTTGTTGGCATATGAAATATGATCAGATGTAAGCCTCCAAGTGATGACGAAGTATCGGCTAGAAGGAGCAATTGATAAGGGCGAGGTTATGCTATTAACTTGGGTGGCCCACCCATGGCACATCATGAATTCCTTCAGCTGCTTTTGAGTAACCCATTGCTTAGGGGGATGTATAACCAATGCCCCTTCGTATAGAGAGTATCCCTCCTTGAAGCATTGTGTCTACCCATGTCTTCTTGCTACCATGTCTTCGTCACAAGTCACTCGGACTTCACATAGGAATTCAAAGGAGCCAGACAATATCATTATTGTGGTGTTCTTCCTAACTCAATACTTCTCAAATTATTTTGTTAGAAGTGTTTGTGTGCACAATAAAGGGTTTAGTAAAATCCTAATAGCTTAAAAACTAGTTTTGCTAGCTACTCTCTCTAACAGCTTGTCAAATATTTTTTAACATATCTCATTCTATCACCACATACTTCTTTTGTGGAGTAGGTTTGTGAGAAACACTATGAGCTTGGATAAGCTATCAATGAAGCAGCTCTAGTACTTGGTCAACACTAAGAACAATTGTAGCTCAAACATGTTTAGGCATGTTGGACACTCATTGATGATCTTGACTTTGGTGGCATTGATGCATATCTTATTGTGCCTAACAATGTGGCCCAAGAATTCCACTTCGGTGATAGTGAATGTACACTTAGGCTGAGGTTAGTGTTTGTGGAGTCATAAGTCTTCATTATCATGAGTTAATAATTAGTAAATAATATATTTTTAGCCTTAACTTATGATAAATAGATTTATACTTGTGTTAAAGTGTGAAAAGTAGTTTTCAATTGATTAATGTGAATTTTTGGGTAATTATGTGATTTTATACGATTTTTATAGTTTTACTTTTGAGATAAATGAAGGAAAAGAAATTAAAATAAAAATATAGCAAAATGGGGGGGACCCGCCGGCCAGCCAAGCCCACAAGCGAGTTGGAAGCACATTCAGGTAGGAGTCGCAAGTAGGGGCTCGAGTGACTTGAACTGATGGGGGCACTTGTGCGCCACTCCCCTTCCATGTCACCAGTGGTCAGCCGGCTATTGGGCAAGAAGTGGTCGTACACGCGCAAGAAAGGGATTTGATCAAAAATGTAATATTACTTTATATTTATCAGAAACTTCAGCATACAACTGATGTGGGACTAAACCCACATCACCTTCCCCAGAAAAGGTGGGCAACTAGAGCGGGTTTGAATCCTTCTAAAGTCAATACTTATATTTTTTTATCTGATTATCGCGACTTTCTTGCAGATCGTCGGTGAAGGATTAAGCAATCAGAATCGCTGGATCATCGGCAAAAATCTCGCCAATGTAATTTGCGGAGCATTGTTACTAAAATTGTTGAACGATTCACGATAAAAGGATCACGAATCTATCAAGTAAAGCATCTCCGATTGATCGATGAACAAGTCGTCATTAGGAAGAGGACGATTTGTCAGGAGACAAGTTGCCACCTTTTGAGAGCGTACCGGATGTGATGAAGAGCCTCTTTTTATTATGGAGACTTGAAGATGAAGCTCCTTGACACGTGCCCCACCTCCATCCAGCTCCTTTCTATTAGGTGACAGTCGTCGGAGAGCCGCAAAGTCGTCATTTTTCCACTCCGCTAGGTGACAACTGTCGAAGATGATTCGACGACCCACTTCATTGATCTCTAGACTTCGCAAGGAGATCTAGAGATTGCCCACATCGTCCTTGTCCAAGGAGAGCCTTTGAGGCCATGGACACTACACAACGATCCTCCCGAATGCTTAGGATTCTAGTGCATCGCTGACGTATTGCCACCGCGACGCCGGAATTATGTTTTTCTGCTTTCAACTTAATTTCTGTTTCATTTAGTGATAATTTATTTATTTTAAATTTACCAAGATATAGTTCATTTTATTATGATTCTTCCGACTTTTACAAATCTTAATTTGATCAATTAAATCGTTTGTAATCACTTATGTAAGAATCACCGAGTGGAATTCTATTTCTGCTTGACTTGTGTTTACCAGGCGTTGACATCATCTTGACATCTGCACCCTTATTTTCTTTTTCGTGAATTTTAAATATATTTCTTTTTTATTTCTTAGTATAAAATTCATAGAAAATAGTATTCTTTGAGGACAATTCTGAATAATTTTCAGATATTATAGTATATCCTTGTGATCAACTTGGAAAATTACCATTATTTTTAGAAGTTTTATTGAATTAGAATTGATATATTTGTTCAGAAATACTTCTAAATATCTAAAAATTCGTTTTTCT